AGCACCGCTTCTTCCTGATTTCCTCCTCCATTGGAATCTGACTTGTTCTCTCCCACAGTTCGTTGTTGCTGATGGTGTCTGGCCAACGAATACGAAGTATTTTGCGTAGACAACTGTTAATAAACACTTGTATCTTCTGGATGATGGCTTTGGTAGTTCTCCATGTTTCCGCTCCATACAGTAGAACTGTCTTGACATTTGTATTGAAGATCCTGATTTTGGTTTTGTTGAAAGTTGTTTGGAGTTCCAGATATTTTTCAACTGTAGAAATGCAGCCCTCGCTTTGCCAATCCGCGCCCTCACATCTGCGTCCGATCCACCTTTCTCGTCGATGATGCTGCCAAGATATGTGAAGGTGTTAACGTCCTCCAAGGTATCTCAATCAAGCGTGATTCGGTTGGTGCATGTTGTGTTGCATCGGAGAATTTTGCTTTTTCCTTTATGTATGTTGAGACCTACTGCTGCAGAGGCTGCTGCTACACTGGTCGTCTTCTCTTGCATTTGTTGTTGAGTGTGCGATAGAAGAGCCAGGTCATCTGCGAAGTCCAGATCGTCCAGCTGCGTCCTAACTGTCCAGTTGATACCGTGCTTCCCTCCAGATGTTGACGTCTTCATAATCCAGTCGATGACCAGGAGAAAGAGAAAGGGTGAGAGTAAGCAACCTTGCCTCACACCGGTCTTCACCTCAAAAGAGTCTGTCAGCTGACCTCCGTGCACGATTTTGCAGTTGAATCCATCATAAGAATTCCGTATGATGTTGACTATTTTCTCAGGCACACCGTAGTGTCGAAGAAGCCTCCACAGTGTTTTCCTATCCACGCTATCGAATGCTTTCTCGTAGCCGATGAAGTTGATGTATAGTGGTGAGTTCCATTCAATTGATTGTTCCACAATGATCCGTAATGTAGCAATTTGGTCAATACACGATAGATCCTTACGAAATCCGGCCTGTTGATCTCGAAGTTGGGCGTCTACGAAGTCGTTAATCAAGTTTAGCAATACCCTGTTGAAGACTTTGCCTGGTAATGTAAGAAGAGTGATGCCTCTGTAGTTCTCACACTTGCTGCGATCGCCTTTCTTTGGTATTTTGATCAGGTATCCTTCTTCCCAATCTGATGGTAGTTGTTCCTCATCCCAAATCTTCTTGAAGAGAATGTGAAATATTTTCGCAGTTGCTTCTACATTTGCTTTGATTGCCTCTGCTGGAATGTTGTCTGGCCCTGCTGCTTTAGCGCCCTTGATTTGTCTGATGGCCATGCGGATCTCCTCAATTGTAGGTGCGCCAATATTAATTGGGAGGTCTGTGGATGCTGCTTCGATGTTGAGTGTGTTCAGTGGAGCTGGTCGATTCGAGAGTTCCTGAAAGTGCTCTACCCACCTATTTCGCTGTTCTTCAGTGTTGCTGATTACTTTGCCCTCCTTGCTTTTCACTGGTCGTTCTGCTCTATGATAGTTTCCGGTGAGCCTCTTTGTTGTATCGTACAATTGTCACCGGTGTCCGTATCTTGCAGCCTTTTCCACCGTCATTGCGAGATACCACATATTTTCGTTTGTCAGCTCTGATGCTCTTCTACACTTCCCTGTTTGCTTCTGTGTATGCAGCTTGTGCGGTAACTTTCTCTGCTCTTGTTCGGCTGACATTGATTGCTGCCCTCTTGTTCCTCCTTTCTTGAATTTTTTCAAGAGTACCAACAGAGATCCATTCCTTGTGATGGTGCTTCTTGCGACCAAGGACCTCCAGACATGTTGAAGTCATTGCCTCCTTAATCCCTTTCCAATTGTTCTCCAATGATGGTTCCTCTCCGTTGAGTAGATTCTGAAAGGCCTGGAACCTATTGGTGAGGGTTATCTTGAATTCATTGAGTTTTACTGTATCCCGAAGAAAGGCTGTATTAAACTTGTGTGATGTTGTCTGCCCCGTTGTCCAGTGCTTTTTTAGTTTGAGTTTCATTTTGGCGATCAGCAAATGGTGATCTGATGCTATATCAGCTCCTCTCTTGGTTCTTACATCCTGCATGGTCCTTCTGAACGTTTTGTTGATACAGATATGGTCAATTTGGTTTTGAGTAGTGTGATCCGGTGAAATCCATGTGGCTTTTTGAATGCGTTTGTGCGAGAATATTGTGCCACCGATGACCAGTTTTTTGAAGGCACATAGGTTTGCAAATCTCTCACCGTTTTCGTTCCTTTCTCCCAGTCCATGTCGTCCCATGATGTCTTCATATCCAGTATTGTCCATGCCAACCTTGGCATTCAGGTCTCCCATAATAATCGTCAAATCCTTTGGTGAACATTTTCTGACGATTGACTGCAGCCTTTCGTAGAATCGATCTTTAACGTCGTCATTGTAGTCATTGGTAGGTGCATAACACTGGATGACGTTCATTGTGATGTCCTGTTTCTTTTTTTGAAGGATGCTTTAATGATCCTGGGTCCATCAGATTCCCATCCTATCAGTGCTTTTTGTACATGTTTGGACAGCATCAGTGCAACTCCTTGTGTATGTAGAGCATTTCCCTCTTCATGACCAGAGTTTAACAGCAGTTCCCCTGAAGCTAGTCTCAGTTGTCCTACTTGTGTCCAATGCGTTTTACTGATGCCGAACACCTCGAGGTTGTATCTTTTCATTTCTGCCGCAACTTGAAATAGTCTTCTAGTCTCCCACAATGTTCGAACGTTCCATGTAGCTAAAAGAATGGTTGCTCTGGTTTCGAGAAGATGCATCGGCCCCGTGACTTCCGAGGGAACTCGGCTTTGATCACGCGACGTCATAATTCTTCTTCCAATTCCCAGGGCAGAGTTAAAATGGTTTGAATTATTTTTTCTGGTTAGCGTTTTTTTGGCGAGTTAGTTTTTAGTTGCGCCAACCCCATGTCCAACCCATCCTCCTTTAACCGGGCTGGGGACCGGCAAAGCCCCCGAAGGTTCTAGTGGCGGAGTTGTAGGTTGTCGCAGACCAATGAAAATTGAAAAGATACTATCTCAGTCAGCATTTTAGAACGTATAAAATTAGTTCGGAGAACACAAAACGCTTACCCTTAACAATATGTTTTACTTATTTTTGTCAGAACGGTGGTCGTTCACACATCCGATTATTTATCAACAATTATGATGACAGCTAGAATAATTCCAAGAAACGCTGGATACAGAGTCAAAGTATTCGTGTGCATTCGGCAGAAATATGCTGCAAAACATCAACAAAACATGTGCAACAGGTTTGCTGGTTAACAAGCAATAAACAGCTTCCAAATATATCGGAAGGAGGTTGTGTACAGTGTTGCCTGTTCCGTAAACGGTAATCAGTAAGACAGTCGAAAACGAGAAAAAACTTAAATAAAAATCTTTAGTCGATAAACAAATTAATGGGAAATTACAATTGACGACAAAAATTATTTACAAATGATGTTCATTCAAGCCATCTCTACATGCTGATGTATGTGGATGTTTGCAGAATAATTTGGTTGAAAGCGAATGGTATAGCATTATGGCTTACACCAATGCCTCACCTCGCAGTTAATACCTGACGACCTTTATCCCTTGTGTTGTGTCTGTGTACCGGGACTACTTTAGCGACTTTACAGAAGAATATATATCATTGCAGAAACATGTATGGCTATAGAAGATGTATCCTAAGGTCCGCAGCGTTCATTGTGCTTGTTCGACTGTTCAAAATTCAATGGTCCGTAGCAAAATGTGGAAAAAGTTCAGCTTGATAGCGGCTTCCTTTCGAATTTTCGAGACGAAAGCTATAATTTTATTTAAATCCAATAAGTATTCAAAAACAATCAGTGCAGATATTATTGATGCGATACTGATACTGCTAATATAGGGTCGAATCGTTGCAGATTCCTAAAAAGCTTAAATAAAAATTACTATTCGTCACTTAGTGGTAATCACACCACGATTAGAAAAAAGTGATTTATACTAGCTCGTCAAAAAGATATTAAATAGGGTTTAAAAACAAAACTTACGAAGATAGACAACGGCATATAGGACTATTTTTACTGTGTTACAAGGAAATCTGAGGCAATCTGATTATGGTGCACAGCATATTAAGCATGCCAAACCATCCCAACGTGAGCATCGGACAGATGCATCACAACCACCACCCTCGGGGCAGTCCTAAAAATTGCGCATCAAAGAGCGAAGACTCAGACCCGTGCACACGTTTTATCAATGAGAGTCTTTGAAACTTGGAATGCTTCCCCAGGCTAAGTCACCACAGCCCTCTCAGTGGGCAGCTTATGAAGAGAAGTGACAAACAAGTACTCATACTGATTATCATTTCCCTTTTAGACAAGCTGTGCCTGATACATGTCTTGAGACTTGCTAGCTGTTGTTATTGCCATCTCCAAAGATTACTAACCTAATTTATCTTGCCTATTATATTTGTCTGGTCTCTCTTGAAAACACCAGTCCTCTCAAGCAATCTTCACTACCAATTAATAAACTAAATTTATCTATTTATTTAATTAGTTCTGAAATCTCATTAGCACTAGAACTTTTTCCTTATTCTTTTCAACATTGAAACTGACTGATCTCCGTCCTGGTAATGTGATGAATGCTAGTATCCAGAAACCCTGCAGCCCTGAAACGAACGTATGCATTCAAATCACAAGACATACAAACTCACAAATAACTGCCAACTGACTAGAATTAGATAATTGAGTGGCTAGACCCCTTTACATTGGACACTACCAAATACCTGGGACCATACTAAAAGAACACGAGTCAAGGGCAAGGAAATCAGTTGGTTTATTCTAGCCAATGAAAAAGATATTGGATATTGGATAGAAAGCTGAGGGTCATTGTCAGCAACATTCAAGTTTGGCGGTGTATCAGTTTTCTCCTAAGTATGTACACCCCTTGTTTAGATCTCATTAGTTCTCTTAATCTTCCACGTTTAAAGTCTAAGACTTTTACTTCCGTGCCTTTGCACCGCATTCCTCACTAGCCTCTAACTCGCCGAGATTTCGAAGTTCGAATTATTACTAGACAAAAGCTAATATCATATATGAATGCCTTTGTTAGGGAATGACTTGATTCGATTCAGTAATAATACAAACTACAGTGTAATTTTCGCTCTACGTGGCATCGAATCTATTTTTAATTAGTTAACCAACGTCTTTCGTTTTTTCGGATAATAGTCCTTTTTTCTTTTGATGTTTCTCACTCTAAAAAACATAGAGTTGGGGATGAGAACCGGGAACCAGGTTTTTCGGTTATCTGAGTTAATTTAAAAATCACCAATTAGGTGTGGTTTTTAATTTATTTGGATCTGATTCTAGAGTTTTTGGGTATCCAAAGGTGATGGAAGCCTCACTAATAAGGCTGATTGCTATCTGAGATCAAAATGCTATCTTTCCTATACATTCTATCTGTTTCAGGCTTCAGAAAAACCTTTTAGCAAATTTATGTGCTCATAAATTTTATTTATTGTGGTTTTTAAGTTGTCGTTGAATTAAATGCATTATAATTAATCACGTTCCCACAACTCGATCGTGCTGGAAAAAGCTTTTAACGTTTGAAAAGTAGTTATAAATCTTATTCTTTACTTAATTTACGTTTTCACTTGTCTCCTTTTGGTATTACATAATTTATTTTTTTAATCCCTTTACCAAACCTTTAGGTCCTAAATAACTATGGGTGTCAATACCAGGAGAAATACAAAAAATAAAGGAAGGTCGCTCGATGGTAATTTACGAGTTTTATCTAGAATGTTTTTCATGTAATGCCGTTTAATAACATCAATTTTTATGTAGAAAATTCACTAATTTAAACAGATTGTTCACACCACTTGTAAATCACTTTATCAAGCATTATCAGTCATGTACATATGTAGTCTAGAAAACGAGTTTCATTTTCCGGACGATTAAGAATCCTGAAAATTTATACTGACTCTGAGCACGAAGACATCCATGTCAATAAGTATTATAACTTATCATAACCAACAGTGCTCAGCCCTCTTCGTTTCTGGTTCATCGAAAGCTAGAATCTGTTAACCAATTTCAAGGTGTACATACGAATTTCTACGCTAAAGCTGACAGATTGCATCTCAAGATGTTCTAAGTAGTAATTCTGTACCTAATCAAACTTAGTCAAACAATAAACAAGTTCTTAAATTGTAGCCTGATTTGAAAAATATTACCAGTCATTGTGAATTTCGTCAAATAAACGTGTAATTTATGTTAAGAAACAAAATATCTGTGAAATAGTTTTTTATTTGAATAACCGTGCTACATTAAACGAGCTCTCTGTTATAGATTACTGTACTGTAAACGTTGAGGTATCATTAAACAGATTCTTGATCTGAAATAATGTACGGGTAATCTACCCCTATACTGATAAGTTTCACAACTGTCAGTGTTTTAGTGTTATTTTTCTTTAATGGTCTTCAGATTAAAAATAACAAAAGCAAGACTTCATTTGTTTCTCAGATAAGTATTTACTGTTAATTATTACCCCGATCACTTTTATTTTGTCAAAAACAAGATAACAGTTACGAAAATTTCAAAGGCAATGCGAATATGGATGCTCAGAAATTTTCAAGTGAATTTTCTTATCTACACTTTTTGTCTGGTATTTCATATACCTCTGTAGTTTTTATAGCGTTCTGTAGATAGTGTTGATCCTAAAACATCGCGTTCTTGCTTACCTAATATAAATGTATTACTGGGGTTTGAGTATAAGCCAAGTTCTGAATATTATGATTTTCATTTGTTCCTTATATGATATATCTTAAGACTATCCACACACTGTTAAAAGAGAAAAAGTTGTTACGATTCTCTGAAAATTCAGACCACGTTAGTTTAATTCTTTGGTGTGTTATCGCCTTACACCTTCATACGAAAATTCTTTTAACCTGTAGAACAGTGATCATTATCATCATTAAGAGCGACGTAGAACTTTGCACATAAGTACGGCAGTTCAAGTTGCCATATCACATTAGCACAGAGATATAATTGTCAATTCAAATCCCATAGTAGTAGGGGCAGTAAAAGTATTAGAAGTAATCCGAGGGATTAGGGTTCGAAGATGTTATTCAAGAAGTTTAACCCAGTGAGGCAAATTCAGAAAGGGAAAGATCGAGGTGATGAGAAATTCAGAAGGTAGGAATTTCACAGAACACCATTGCAAATAGTTTTGAGCTGTGCCACTCAGGGTCTGTAACCATCGATTATTATCATCTCGCGGACCCCAACCAGGTAGTATTCACCTACCAACATGAATCAATCCACTCGTCAATGATTTCATGGATTTATGCCATGTTTTGGTCTGGCCGCCCCTAGATTTCTTCCAACCTACTCCTACACTGTAAAACATAGCTCGTCGAGGCAGTCGGTGGTTAGGCATACAAAACACATGCCCCAACCACCTCAACTGAAAAAGTTTCACCACTTCATCTATTGCACTGCCATCCTTACCTGGCACCCGTTTCCTAACAATAGCATTGCTTACTCAGTCCAGTTCCCAAATTCTGCCTAAAATCTCAGTCAATCTAGCTGCTACAACTGGACTACCATCCTTTAAAATTTCAGGGGTAAGCCTATCAGAACCTGCTGCTTTGCCTCGCTTTAGATTTCCTATAGCTTTCTCAACTTCATAAAGACTAGGAGGACTTATATCGATTTGCTATTCAGGATTATTGGGGATCGTAGGCAACCGAAGTGTGGCTGAAGGCCAGTTGAAGTGATCCCTGAAGTGTTATGCCCATCGATCCAATCTGGATTGCGAATGAATGATACAGCCAACCCTTTCTCAGATAGTTTCGCTAACAGATTGATTTCTAATACCGGTTTGCTTTATAAGGTGGAACAACTGTCTACTGTTGCCTATCGCTATTGAATTTCCCATCTACTTTGCTTTCGCTACCTACCACTGTTATCGATCATTGCGTAGGCTTTTTATCAGCATGCGCCTGAGCTGAATCAGCTCCTCATCGTACTCAAAGCCAGGTGGAATGAGCTTCCAAGCATCCGTTAGTTCCATAGATGCTACTGAAACCCACGGCTTCTCCCTAAACTTATGGTTTACCTTACTAGCAGATATCACTGCTGTCTCTACAGCCTTTCTGATATCATTCCAACCTGCCTCAGGGTGGGCATCACTTACTACATGGCTGCCTAACTGTTTTTCTAGCTGTTCCTGAAATATATTCTTAGCTTTATTATCATTAGGTAGAGCCCTAACAGGTTTCCTTGCGATATTTTTCTTGCATCCAGTAAGGCGCCAACAAATGCGCGCTCGCACTAGAGCATAGTCTGTGTCTAAACAAATGCTCCAGAATGAGCGGCAGTTTTCAACAGAGCCTCTCCACCGATGGCTTATAGTGATGTGATCTAGCTGGGTCCATCGCTGGGTCGTCTTTCGGCGGTCGCCAGGTCAAAAGGTGTTTTTCATTATGCTTAAAGCTAGTGTATGCTAAAAATAGGCGGTTATCTGAGCATAGCTACAACAGGCGGTCGCCATCATCTGTTCTCTAAGTCGCGAGACCATAAGATCCATCCAGGTGTCTTTCCTTTTCATCGGAGCGCTTAATATTTTGGAGAAGTTTAGAGAGGTTTCTATAAAACTTATCTTTCATTTCGTTTGAACTGCAGTCAGTGGGAGCGTAGGCAGATGCGACGAAGAGGCAACGGCGAGTGTCCCTATCCTTCCTAGTCCGTACCGTCTCGTTTAGTCGGACAACGCATAGGCGACTGTCTATCGGGATCCAGTCTAAGAGAGCTAGTTCTGCCCTAGGACTTAATACTATACCTACACCGGCGAGGCAACGAGAAGCGGTATCAGGGCTTCCATAAACTCGTAGCGTACACCTTGTTGTGTCTCTATCTGCACTAGGTGAAATCAAATTGATGATTTTACTCGGATCTTGTATGCGTGTTTCGGAGACGCAACATGCATCGATCGCTAGGGATTCCAGAGTCAGACAGACAGACAGATTCCAGAGTTCTAGCTAATGAAACCTGTTGCTCTATTTGGCATAGGGTCCGAACATTAAGAGCTCTTATATGTAATTTGGTACGGGGTTTCAAGAGACCAGGAATAGTGTTTCATGAGCTCTTACCGTTTGCTTCAGTGGCGTGAGGTGAGAAACGATCTAAATAATGGAGATAAGAGTTATTAGGTTTAGAAAGGATTTGATTGTGACCGATTTTGTCTCGTGTTCTTTGATGGGTGTGAGGGTGGATGTTACTTCCCGGCTGCCCACACCGTGGAAGGGTGTTTCTTGAGGAATCTGAGAACGAAGGTAGATTAGCGTTAGTCTTAACCACCTGGGAGCGTGACCGCAGAGCTCAAGAGAAATCTGCTTGAATCCGGTCACGCGCGGCCTTTTTATGAAAGGTATTCTGAGTATTAGATCCGCTCTTCTTAAAGCCCTTAGTGTGCACCCTTACCGCTGGAGACGGAAATTCGTGAGGTAAGGTGAGGTGTGACATTTTTAGGCTCGACCTTTTCTAACCCTTCTTTCTTTGTGAGACGGCAGCATCGCTGTAGATGCTGGTTGTCTGAGGGAAACACCTCACTGCTGTCACACCCCTTTTCAGTCAGTCAGCAGTACGACTTCGCCCTCAGACCTTGAGTAGCTGTTTTTAGTCTCATCGTTCTCCAGTCGACCTGTCTGGCATGTTAGAACCTTCAGGAACATATGTTGCAGCCAATATAGCTTGGTTTGGTCATCACGATAGGCAAGCCCGATCACCACGTCAAGGTAGCAGCTAAGGTCGGGGTAGAATGGTGAAATCAACTATGGCAACTGAAATCCCATTTGCAGTTGTTTAATCATCGCAGCTCTAGTAACGAAATATGTGTACACTTATTAGCATCAAAACCTTGGTCACTTAAGATCATATAGGACAAAAGTATTTGAATACTGAACCTCAGAGAGGATAAAACACTGGGCAATCATCTTTCCTAGCGAAGTAGATTTATAAGGGCCTCTCAATGTAATCAAACACCGAAAAATAAATTAATGATGTGCGCTTGTTTAGTGGTCTATCGGAGAGAAAATAAATCTACATATAGGCCTTAAACTTATCTGTTTCTCTTGCCCATTCTATGGACTCAAGTTGACCATAGAATATCTGATCAAGTTCTCTTGTAATTATCAGAAGCAGATCTCTGTGCTTGCTGGTTACCAATGCTCGAAATAAGTCCGAGAAAAATGCTAACTTTCATATTCCATAAAATGTAGTGATCATTTTTTCCTATCTTTGAATATATAAGGGTAGTTACGGCTGCAAATTTATGGATAAATGTTTTCAGGACTGATGTGTTTACGAAACTTAATTCCAGATTCAAGTACTATAGATTTCTAAAACAACGACTAACGAATTGAGAGAATATTTGTGACGGTAATAAAACTTATGTGCACAAAATATTTGCTCGAGATAGTTTTGTCGTATGCTATTTACCGAATATCCTTCAGTACGACAAGTCTTGATTTTACCCATTATTCCAGTACAGGCAGCTTTTTTGAGGTTTCTCATTTTTAACTGTCTCATGTTTATCGCAGTGTTCTCTTCGGTCTTGGTTAGACCGGTTGTTTTGGACTTCATTCGGTAAGACAAAGGCACTAATTCACTGCCATTGTACTGCAGTTCATCCAACAGTATAATTTTACCGATTTAAACTTACCACTAGATTTATATGATTGAAGTAAAACGCTAAGTGCTCTCAGAATCAAGCGATTCAAGATCCTCTTCTCGAAAGGAAGAACTCTCGTGAAAAAAGTTTTTGACATTGTTATATTTCTTCCTCAGATAGATAGGCCAACTACTACATGGAAGTATTGTAATAGAAACCATTCATTTTTACCTGACAGAAATTAATTTTACATTTCTCTTATTATCATTATTATTATAGGCCTATCATCAGAGGAACTTACGTTTTTGAATCAAAATTATATACACCTTGTCAGCTCAAAACGAGTAAGTACTTTAAGACACGCTATTATGAATCGTAAGTCTGCTCTTTTAGACATTTGTTTCAATTATTCTTTATTGTTCACTCTTCAAATTTAAGTTTAATGGCTGTTCTCACCTTATTGGTTTTGAAATAGTATTTATCAGAAACTGTAGCCAGATTAGGAAACATCATCATGTCGGAAGCACTTAGTTGTTAACGGGGAGTTTTGTGTTGAACTGAATTCGATGCTATCTGTTTCTTCCCTAAATTTCTTATTCAATTTGTCGTCAGTTTATCATGAAATTATCTCCACAATGATTAATTTTTCTGATTAAGATGCTAAGGGAACATTTTATCGAGATGTAATTTTTATGAATAAGTTGTAGTAGTTTTCTGTTCAAACGTATGCCAACATGATTTCTATATCAGTTTTATCAAATAGTTTCTTATCAGTAAATAGAATAATACATTACGTTATTTATAAAATATTGAGAGCTATTTTTTATTCTAAATAAGAAACAAAATGTTTTAAAATTACTTGAATGTATTATTATAACAGTGATACTAATAGAATAATATAAATTGTTAATATTAATGATGAGATACTTTTTTCTAGCAGTTTTTGCTTTCATTGTGTTTGTTATAGAAATGTGGACTCATATGCAACGCCTGTGGAATTCACTTGCCTTCTGTTGGTGCAGCATTTCATCATACTTCTTCGACTTTTCATAATACAAACCTTACGGTGAGAGTTACGGAATAGACTAGTTGTTTCTACAGTTTCATGCTATTAAATTAATTGTCGATTTTGTTCCCTATGATGTGTTTATAGCTGGACGCATAGGTGTAACATGTCTCCAGCTCCAGCTTACAAATTTCTAGACTGAACACCAACAAGTTTGTATATAACTGTCTGTTGGTTCACATCATTGTGCTTCGGTAAATTCAGACTTTACATTTGTTGTATATATCATTTATCGTTCCAGGACATTCGATAGTAGACCTGAATTCCACTTAAAATCCCCGGTAGTATTTTCAACTTACACGAAGTTATGATTTACAAATCATCAGAATCCACTGTGCTGTGATATTTTAGGTGATAATAAAGCCTTCACAATAAGCTAAAAACACATAAGGCATCTTTTGGTTAAATAGGTTCCTCTCTAAACTAACAGCGAATCCAGGACGTGCGTCGCGTTCTAGTTGGGACTCGTCAGCTGAGTGTACTTATTTTCTAGAGCTGGTGTATTTTTGTTTTTCTTAGTCTAATTAGTCAAATACATAAATAATTAATAATTTTGGCGTTTTTTTCTACAGGTTTCCACGATATTGATTCTTTTTTAGGCGCTAATAACCTTCGGTTTGTATACCTGAATTAACTTTTAAGCCATGTTTCAGGGATTTTATTGTTTCGACAGCTAAGGACTTAGTTAGGTATCATGATGGTTTGATTTTTAACATGACACATTATTATTGGAATAATAAATAGCTCAAAATATATAATATTCGGATTCACTTTTGCCTAGACTACTGCCATTCTTTGTTTTGGTGATTGAATGCTGTCATAGTTCTACTCGTGATATTACTGGGATATTTTTGATATTTGTGGGTTCCCTCTGTTTTATATCATGTTAAATTATGCTGAAAAGCTATAAATAACATAAATAGATGGAAATCAGACTGTGATTAGTTTTTGAAGTTATCGATAATCAAATTTAATTTCGGGGAGCAAATAGTATGTGAGTTGTGCTGTCGTTCCTAGGTTCAAATTTCTCTTTAAGTATTTCAGTCTGGGCAATTGGTTTGTATCTTTTAATAAAATAATAATCAAACATCAGTATTTCGGAGCATTGTCGTATGCATCTGCAACTGCAAATTTAATATGAATGAAATAAAATGTTTTTTGAAATGAAATGTTATCATGTAACAATAGTAACGGTAAACTAGGAGCGAATTTTGGCTTGAAAATTACTACTGATTAAAATGAAATTGGTAGTTGAACCGTCTTTAGACGTTCACTAACCATTCTGGTCGCCTAATCTAGGTTCACTTGTGCGACCCAGAGCCGATCATTTTAGTCTGCACTTGCTACATTTTTCTGGAAACATTTTCTCTACTTGTGACGATCCACACATTCTTTTCTTTTTGATAAAGTCACCTTACTATCAACCTAACTGAACATATTTACTTCTAACAGATCTCACTGTTATAATCATATGTGAAACAATAAATCTAGTTACAATCATAAATTCAAAATGTGTTATTCTTGTTTTGCTTCTTAGTTTTTAAATGACAAACTACTTTATATATTGATTTTATATTTGTAAATTTGTGTTTGCCTTATGTTTAGACTGCCGAACTGAGAACAACGCTTCTTCATTTGCCTCCCATCACAGACTCCCATAGAATCGCATTAAACTTAGAGTTAAAATCCGCTGTTCTTTCTGTTGTGCTGGATACCAGTGAGATGCAGCGACGAAAGAGTTTTGTAAATAATCTGATTGCTGCCATCGAAGCTCGAATTCCAAGTAATTTGGAATATTTTTGTTTTGCACATTTTTTTAACTTTTAAACTATAAAATGCTAACTAAATTTAACTTAACAAAAATAATACGCTTAACATTGAAACAGTCTTGCCGATGGCCTGGTGACTGACGAAATCCCAGCTCGGATACAAAAGGCTTGATTGGCTTTTGCCAACCTACGTCACTCATGGCGTAGGCAAGATATCCGCTTGTTAACCAAAGGACGAGTGTACTGCGCAGCAGTTCGCTCTGTCCTACTATACGGATGCGAAACATGGCCGTTAAGAGTAGAGGACTTCCGCAGTTTACTAGTCTTCGATCATAGGTGTCTTCGAAGCATTGCTCGTATATCCTGGGACACTCGAGTGAGCAACGCTGTTATTAGGAAACGGGTGCTAGGTAAGAATGGCAGATCAATAGATGTAGTAATGACATTTGCTGCGTATGCCTAACCACTGACTGCCTCGACGAGCTTTGTTTTGTGGTGTAGGAATAGGTTAGAAGAAAGCTGGGGGCGGCCAAACCAAAACATGGCAAAAATCCATGAAGTCATTGACAAGTGAACTGAGCCATGTTGGTAGCTGTCGACTACCTGGTTGGCGTCCACGAGATGATAAAAATCGATGGTTAGATACCCTGAATGACACGGCTCAAAACCGCTTACAATGGCGCAAGTGCATTTATTCTTTGTGTTCTCTCAAATCCTAATTTTTTGGATTTCTCAACCCCTCTAGTTTTGACTTTCCAAACTTATCTCACTGAATCATACATCATAAGAATTCAAAAAATGGCAAAGAAAGTTATGATCGGAAAAATTATTATCAGTTACAAAAGTATGTTAGTCATTAGGTTTCTGTCTCTAATAATAATAATAATGATAATAATAATAATAATAATAATAATAATAATGTGGTAGTATATAGATAGCTGAAAACTTCAAGATGAAATACCAAATGAGTAATCAGTGATGTTTTAAATACGACAAACCAATATTCACATATCATCTTTATTCCTAATCATTGAGTTTATTTCTGACACATATTATTTCCTAGATATAAAAGTTAAAGGAACTGGTAGCTTATGGTTTGGTTTAGCTCTACAAGATACTCACTGTTCATTGGATGTGGTTTGTTCAAGCGATTTTAATGAGAATGGATTATTGGCAATGCAGCCAACTATGGATAATGATGATGATGATAATGATAATGATGATGATTTTGATGAAAAAGGCAATAATAATGATACTGATAATAATGGTCAGTCTAGTCCACAATCTGTATTTGAGCAGTTAACAAATGACACGGAACAATCAATGGGTTATGTTTTATCTGATGTTTTCGAATTACTACAACTTAATGCATGCGAACCACCACCTGGTCAAACTTTTCAAATACCAGGAACAGCTGCTTTGTCTGATTCTTCTACTGACCATGATGATACAAGAATGTCAGGCAAACGGGATTTCCCTAAATTTCATACGTATGTTTATTTGTTTTTATTGCTTTTTGCTAGTTTGATAGTTTTTTTTTCACTTTTTTTTAATAATTATACTTGTGGTCCCATATGAATTACACGTACTTTTGCATGTGTTTTTTACGGGTTAATAACCAAAGTTAAGAAAAAATTCCTAATGCATATTGTAACAAGATTGTTGAATTCAACAACATTAAGTAATAATCTTAAGAGGATAATGATGATTCATAGTTCAGGAGGATGTTTTTGTAGACTCTATGCTTACTCAGGTGATTGGTTTAATTGTGAAACCTTTTTATTGTTTATTCGTTAGATTTTATAAGCTTTATGCATGAAATTTGTCTTGTATATCTATTAATAGCGCTCTCTTTTTCATGTCAGAGTGTAAATGATTGTTGCCGATTATTCTGTTCTTAGTAACTCTGTATTGCTTGTTTTGTTGATTTCATCCATAACTTTGTATTTGATCGTTTAATGATGACTGATAAATTAAGATCAATAAGTAGTTGTTTGCAATATGCTCACATCTATGATTGTGGCAAGTGTTCAGTACTAAAAAGTTACTGTTATTATAATGCGGTGCCTACGCAATGATCACAAACAATGGTGGGTAGCGAAAGCAAGAAAGATGGAAAAGGTAGCGGTGATAGGTAACGGTAGACAATTGTCAAGGAAACTCGAACTAAGAATCCGACTGTTAGTGAGACTATCTCGGAACAAGAAAGGACTATTATTAATTCTCAATCCAGGAGATTGGATCGATGGGCAGGACACTTCAGGGACCAACTCAACTGGACTTCAGCCACACTTCAGTAGTTATTCACGATCTCTAGTCAACCTAAATGGTGAATGGGTGTAAATCCTTCGACTCTTTACGCTCTCACTGATTGTAGCTCAGACGATGTGAGAGATGAGTTCTGCCGAAAACTTTCGGACCTCCTCCAAAAAGCTAGGCGCTCTGATATATTAATAATGGCTGGTGACTTTAATGCTCAAGTAGGTAGACAAAGTAAGCAGGAAAGACACCTAGGTGGATGTTATGGTGTCGCGGCTCAGAGAACATACAATGGCGACCGTCTGTTGCAAGTTTGCTCAGATAACTGCCTATTTCTAGCAAACACTAACTTTAGGCATAAGGAAAAAAGTCTCTTGACCTGGCGACCCCCAAAGTCGTCTCAACTTTGGACGCAACTAGATCATATCGCCATCAGCCACCGATGGAGAGGTTCGATAGAGGACTGTCGCTCGTTCTGGGGCACATGTTTAGATTCAGATTATGCCCTAGTGCGAGCTCGTATTTGTTTGAGGCTTACTGGGCGTAGGAAATTCACCGTAAGGAAGCCTCTTAGGGTTTTACTTAATGATAATCAAGCTAACAAAATATTTCAGGAGCAACTAAAAAAAGTTAGGCGACCATTTAAGCGATTCCCATCCAGAAGCAGGTTGGTATGATATCAAACAGGCTGCGGAAACAGCAGTGATATCTGCTAATAAGGTAAACCATAAGGCTAGGATGAAGCCGTGGATATCAGTAGCATCCACCGAACTGATGGATGCTCGAAAACGCATCCCACCTGACTCTGAGCATGATGAAGAGCGTAGTCAACTTAGGCGCAGACTTATAAAAAGTCTACGTAACGACCGCGAACAGTGCTGGGTGGCGAAAGCAAAAGCGATGGAAAAGGCAGAGGCGATAGGCAACTGTAGGCAATTATTTAGACTTATCAAGGAAACTGTTATTATGAACCCGAATGTGAGTGACACTATCTCAGAATAGGATGGCTTCATTTATTCTCAATCCAGGAAATTGGACCGATGGGCAGAACACAGTAGGGACCAGTTCAACTGGCCTTCAGCCAAACTTCGGTTGCCCACGGTCCCCAATAATCCTGAGTGGCAAATCGATATAATTCCTCCTGGTCTTCATGAGGTTGAGAAAGCGTTGGGAAATCTGAAGCGAGGGCGAGCTGCGGGTCCTGATAGGCTTACCCCTGAGATGTTTAAGGATGGTGGTTCCGTTTTAGCAGTTAGACTGACTGAGATCTTAGGTAGAATCTGGGAACTGGACGTAATCCTATCCGAGTGGTCTCAATCCCTGATTGTTCCAATTTATAAGAAAGTACAAAAGTCTTCTTGTGACAATCACAGCGGAATAAGTCTAACTAATATAGTTTCTAAATTGTTAGCCTCGATTATCCTTAGATGCCTAACTATAGCTCATGAAGAGCAGACTAGAGAAAACCAGGCTGTTTTGTAGGAATCACACTTGTGTGTCCTTTATTTCCTTTAAGGATTTATTCAAAAGGTTTGTGTTTCTCTTCATCTGTTATTAACATTCCATTGGTTAATATATCTTTCATGAACATACGGCATCGGAAATATAATGATCGAATGGGCATCACTTTACTAATAAAGCAGTTAACATCAAATACTTTTGGAATTTCTATTTAGCTTGTGGATCGTTACACCTTTAATCTTCCACGCACTCTTGAGCATTAGAAGGTTTATCTATACAGTGCTTTTTTTATCTGTTGCTCTGTCTGTTAATGGCTGCATTACTTCCAGACCATTTTGTACAGCTATTAGATAAATCGTTATTTATTATTCCTATTGATAATGGTAATGATCACAATGTCAACAGAAGAAGCACGCAATAATAGTAATCTAATCGTAAGCAGTGTATCTTAGTTGTTACATTTTAGTCAATAATAGCTGGTACTTACTAGTACTCCCTCCTAAAGTACGGTTAACTGGTTGTTATATGAAATAACTGACTTTTACTTAAATGATAAATTTCTCTAGTACACTAGTAATCAGTTACTATGATATTGACCATTATTTGTCTTATTTATGTTTACAATAGTGTTTTACGTACAAGGATTGATTACTTTTACCTGTGTCTGACGGATTTCTTCGGTGTAAATTATCGTATTAGTATTGGTTATCCGTATAGAAATGACTTAGATTTACTGATTAATACTTATCTCAATTTAAATGATCAAGCTCGGCAATTAGCAATATTATTCCGTAAATTATCACGGGTAAGTTCACAAACTTGTTTTCAACTGCATGATATTTTTTGTCCTTTGAATGATTACTTAATTCTTTTAATCATTTCTTATGCGTCTGATAATCTGTCAGATATGAGAATTTTTCTGAAACAGTTGTTTAAAAGCAAGAAAACCAGATTTCTAACAAATTAGCTTTCACCTACTATAGTTTTATTAAGCCTCATTGAAACTCATACTTTACATTATTACTTACATACGCCCGTTACCCACATTGAAGCATAGGCCACCGACCAGCATTCTTCAACCTGCTCTGTCCTGAGCTTCTTTTTTCAGTTCTGTTTGATTTTTGTTTATTCTTCTCATATCTGTCTCCATTTCTTGGCATAATGTTTTCCATGGCCTTTCTCGTTTCCTTTGACCCCGAGGGTTCCAAGTGAGGACTTGTCTTGTGATGCAGTTGGGTGCTTTCCTCAGTGTGTCCTGTCCACTTTCAGCGCTTCTTCCTGATTTCCTCCTCCGTTGAAACCATTCCCATCCCATCAATGCTTTTTGTGCTTGTTTAGACAACATCAGTGTGTGAGGCATTTTCTTCATGGCCGGAGTATAACAGCAGGTCTCCTGAAGCTAGTCTTGGTTGTCCAACCTGGGTCTAATGCGTTTCACTGATTCCAAGCACCTCCAGGTTGTATCTTTTCATTTCTGCTGCAATTCGGAATAGTCTTCGGTCTCCCACATTGTTCTAACATTCCATATACCTAAAAGAATTGTTGCCCTGGTTGTCAGAAGGGGCATTGGTCTCCTGACTCCTGAAGGAAATCGGTTTTCACTATGAGACGTCATAACTTCCATACCTTCCAACTCCCAGATCAGAGTTAAAATGGGAAGAATTGATTTTTCTGGTTAGCGTTTTTCTAGCGAGTTAATTTTCTACGGGATGGGGTCGCAAACCCCATGCCCAACCCTCCTCCTTTATCCGGGCTTGGGACTGGCAGTAGCCCCGTAAGGGTCTCCAGGCGGAGTTACTTTACATTATGATCTTTACCGATGAATTATCCATCCCTCTAATGACCTTTTGACGTGATCCAATCGAAATGTAAGTCGTCAAAAGCGAACTGTTTTAATTTATAACGTATATTTTTTGGTCGAGATTTACGATTGTTAATGACTGATAGATTTCAACTAGTTTTTTTTGAAACCGATCATCAAATTTACCTCATTTCGGTAATTAGTACGGGTCGATCTGTATTTCACAAAAGGAATATTTATTACTTGTAAAATTAGGTACGCTCTTTAAAATCTCATGGGTGATTGTATCATGACCTACTGCTTTCCCTCGCTTCAAATTTTTTTTATCAACTTTTCAACCTCAATAAGATTGGGAGGGCTTACATCAACTTACCAGTCAGGTTGACTAGAGATCGTGGGTAGCCTAAGTGTGGCTGAAGGCCATTTGGAATGCTCCCCAAAGTGTTCTACCCATCGATCCAATCTCCTGGATTGAGAATGAATAATAGTCCCATCTTGTTCCGAGATAGTCTCACTAACAGTCGGATTCCCAATATCGGTTTACGTGATAAGTCTGAATCGTTTTCTATTGTAAAATATCGCCGCTGCCTTTACCATCCCTTTTGCTTTTGCCACCCATCACTCTTCGCAAATATTGCTTAGGCTTTTCATCAGCCTGTGTTTAAGCTGCCTTCACTCATCCTGTTCAAAACTGCAAGCAATGAGTTTGCAAGCATCTATCGGTTCAGTAGATGCTACTGAAATCCACTGACTTTCTCTAACTTCTTGGTCTAGTTTACTGGCAGATATCACTGCAGTTTCCACAGCTTTTAGGATATCATTCCAATCTGCCTCGGGATGGGCATCGCTTACATGGCTGTCTAACTACTTTTCTAGTTGCTCTCGAAATGTACTCTTGGCTTTGCTATCGTGGAACTCTTGATTTGCCCTTCTTACATCCAGTAAGCTGCACCAGACCATGATCTAAATCTAAATATGTGCTCCATAACGAGCGGCAGTCTTCTATTGAGCCTCCTCATCGTTGTATGGTAGCAGTAGGGTCTAATCAGGTCCTACGTTGAGTCGATTTTTGGTGTCGCCGTGTCAAAGTATGTTATTACGTATGTCTAAAGTTGTCATTTAGCAGAAAGAGGCGGTTATCTGAGCACAGCTGCAGCAGTCAGCATCCATTATTTGTTCACTGAGTCGCGACACCATAGAATCCACCCAAGTGTCTGTCGGTTTTGCTCAATTTATTTATTTGGGCAATAAATAACCAGCCACAACTACTAGATCAGAGCGCCTAGCTTTATGATGAAGGTAGGAAGGGTTTACGGTGAAATTTATCTTTTACTTCATCTGAGTTGCAGTCAGTGGGTGTGTAGGCAGAGATAACGAAGAGGCAACGACGAGTGTCCCTATCTTTGGGAGTTCTTACCCTAATTTGCTTTCTTTATCTAAGCAGCCTCATTTCATGTCATACAGCTACACATAAGGTTCATTTGTCTATCATTGTAATTGCATACTCATTGTCGTACATAAATAGCCTGATTGAACGATTTTTTTGTCATTGTGAACATACTTGATGGATACTTTGCGTCATGTTACTGTCTAGCTCATTGTTACTGTTGTTTTAGTTCGTTACCATCCATCCCTTCGGATTCATCTGAGCGCTGTTTTCGTTTGCTTAGTATGTCGCAGTAAATTTGAATGATTATTAATTATCATTTCGGAAATGTCATTATTCATGATGTTGCTCATCACTGGTTTGGTTCTTTTCTTTAAAAAGACACAAAAATATGGATTACTTAGTTTATTATACTGAGTCATCTTTGATGTTCATGACGTGAACAACTTACTTTGTTGGTTTCTATTTTTTTTTTATAGATAGGTAGTTTAGATATGCCGGAAAATGGTACCTTTGAAGAAACGGTTATACCTCTCTTAGTCATATTTTATTTACAACATTGTGAACCCCCAGTACTTCCAAATCTTCATACACTTTATCGTCAACATCGTGATGAAATTTCTGAAGATTCTTATCATCAGGTAAATGAAAATAATCGTACAATGGTACTAAGCTATCTGTGTTGTATACTATTATTTCTTCATTTTTCATTTTTCTAAGCCACTAATCATTTGTCTCTGGATTTTTTTCTGAAATCTTATACTCTATTGAATACCAGTCACTCATTTGAATGCAATATTAGTCAGAAATCGTAGTTTACACATTGTTAAGTAGTGTAAATACGGTTAGTGAATCCATTCCATTTTGTTGATAGACTTAACAAATTGATAATTCGAAGAGTTTTCTTCAAAAAAATCAATAGCAGTTGCAAATTGTAATTATTATTATTATTATTATCAAACACACTAACATTGGTACCAACGGGGCACTTAAATATTTATTCGCCACACAAATTTATGAGTTGGTGAGTGGGTTGCGTTACTGCCCGGACCCTCAAACCGAAGCAGATGGTTTTCTTAAGGGGCTTAAAGGTCTAATCCACCAGGCAGTGGAGCAACGTTATGAGATGCAAACCCGACGGTCGGTTCATACGCCATTCGTTCTGTGAGGATCCTGGAGTCCATGTGCCTCATTGGTTTTGAATGGGTGTTTTCCAACTCCCCTAGGTGGATCGTCCATACCTACCAACCCAGTTGAAGTCGTGACCTGACATTCGCTTTTCCTTCTACTGAATTCAATAAACAACACTTGTGCCACGAGAAGAGAGTGAATAGGAATTCCGTGTCAGTTGTTATACATAGAAACATGGTCATTTGAGAGCATTTAAAGAGGGTAGGAGAGTAGACTCTCCCCATTCTCGGCCATACCAGGTCATTGGCGGGCAAAACTTCGTGACATCCTCATTTTGTCTTATTTTCAAAACTTCCTAATGTAGTACATATAAAGTCTGTTCACAAGAATAGCAAAACTCTAAATAGATATTTACTGATGATATTATAGTATACCAAGAAATATTAATGACTGTCTTCACATTGTAAGATGTTGATATTGAATTTTATGCACAGAATTCAGATTTCATGTGTTTGGCATGGAACTTGAATACAGATTTAGTTATAATAAGTTTTGATTTTGACTTTCTTACTGCTTCGAATATCGCATCTGGAAAATACAACAACAAAGTACTTAAAACGGTCAAGCTATCATATTCTCACAAAGAAATTTAAATCAAAGTGTTTTCAACCAGCATATTATTGTCTATGAGTATTTCTATATATACTGTCAAGGAGATCATTTCAATGAGCTGTGTTGTTCAAAGATTCGTAGCAATTTTTGCGTAATATTTGGCTTTAAATGCGTTCTTGTTGTTCGTTTTCCCGAATCTTTTTCTCTTAACAATAAACCTTAATTAAATAATTTGAATTGATTTCGATTTGATATAGTGCTGGTTTTTTTTGTTTTGTTTTATTTTAGGTTTTGGTGAACAATAATACTGATGATTGTTCGTTTATTACAGACATTGAATTAATTCACAAATTTTATCCTAATCTACCAGGTACATTTATGTTATTTGGTTTTTTAAAAACTTAATTATTTGTCTGGTGAAATCTTTAGATAATCAACTTTTTTCCATTTCAATGTGCACGTGTGTGTGTGTGTGTGAATTATGTACTTTTTTTTATTTCTGTTTATAAACGATTACTTGTTTATGCATAATTTTTCTACTGAACCTAAACATTTTTTCTACTTTGGTGACCAAAGTGAAGAATGAATTCCATGGTATTCAATTACACATACGTCATAGACTCTACACGTACACCACCGGTCGAGTGAGAGCTTATGGCGAACTGTCACCGGAATTCTCTACATCAAGTGGTGTCCGAGAGGGATGTCAACTTTCTCCATTCTTGTTTAATTTTATCATAGACATGCTCCTAGATATAACCTTATCCCCGTCTGAATTTTCACGAGTAGACCTTCTACCAGGTGACTCGCTTATCGACTTAGAATATGCCGATGACATATTCCTAATCGGTGAAGACGCGACAAAGTGCAGAGTCTTCTGACCACCCTAAGCAACAATGCAAGCATGTTCGGGATGCGGTTTTCCCCCTCGAAATGCAAAATGTTGCTTCAAGATTGGGTTTCATCGGCACCTGAACTAGTGATAGGGAGTGAAGTAGTCGAGCGTGTAGACCGCTTCACTTATCTGGAGAGTCTCATCAATGCTGCTAGCCTGGTGACTGACGAAATCTCAGCTCGGATACAGAAGGCTCGATTGGCTTTTGCCAACCTGCGTCACTTATGGTGCAGGCTAGATATCCGTTGGCTGACCAAGGACGAGTGTACTGCGCAGTAGTTCGCTCTGTCCTATACGGATGCGAAACATGGCCGTTAAGAGTAGAGGACTTTCGTAGGTTACTAGTCTTCGATCATCGATGTCTCCGAAGCATTGCTCGTGTATCCTGGGTCGACCGAGTAAGCAATGCTATCGTTAGGAAACGAGTTCTAGGTAGGGATGACGAATCAATAAATGAAGCATCGAAACTCTCCGATTACTTCTAATATTTTTAATACCTCTTCTACTATTAGATTTGAGCTGACAGTTACGTCTTTGTGCTGACGTGGTATGGCAACCTGAACTGATGTACTTATGTACGAAGTTCTGCGTTGTATCTGTCTGTTTCTCTGTCGGACGTCATGGACTTGTCTAGGTCGATGCGCTCACAGTTTGTAGTTATTATTACGTTAATAAAGTTCAATCATTCACATTTCAGTCTATGTCAAACATATTCACCATAAGTTAATATTCACCTATGAGAATGTATAATTGTTTAAATGATATGAGAAATTTCAATTTGTAAAGTTTAATCTATAGTAGAATGGTAACAACTCCTGGGAATGACTTCATATTCTGCTCACATATTTCAACTAGTAATACTTTTTTTTGTCTAGTGCATAATCATTCTTAGTATTGATCAATTTAAAACCTAATTATAATAATACAATCAATTATTCTTCGTGATACTAGTTAAATTTAAAAAATATATTTTGTTGTCTATTTCATATTCTAGTCACAGATCCATCATTGTCTAACAATGTCCCATGTTTAGCTGATTTATGGCTTGGTTTTCTTCGATTTTATTTATTTGATTTTAAAATGTCTTCTTGTATGATTAATATTCTGGAACCGGAACCAGTGACATTTTCTAATAGTTTCGGGAAGCGTTTTACAGTTATTGGTAAGCTGATATGCTTAAATAGAATTTTTTATTGCAATCGGTCTTAAAAATTTTTTTTTATCAAAAATGAACAGTTATATTATTTAAAAACAAATAAATACTTTAAGCAATAATTCTTGTAGACCACCATTAGAAACCTGGAAGCACTGGACGGCCGTTTCGTCCTGGTATGGTGGGGCTCATCAGCAGTGCGCATCCACGATGCCTGCCCAGTGGTCCGATGGTTAGGCATTCGCGCACAAGGTCTCTGGTTCGAATCCTGTGAGGTGCAGGAGTCGTGGATGCGCACTGCTGATGAGTCCCATACCAGGACGAAACGGCCGTCCAGTGCTTCCAGGTTTCTAATGGTGGTCTAACAATGATTGATTGATGATTTCAAATGTGTAAAAACACAAACCTCCAAAACTGCCCGAAAATAATTCTTGTCCTCATTCTGATTAATTGTTTATCAGTAATCTGGATCTACCTACAGATTTTTGCTTTTCCTTGTTCACGTGATCTGTTGAACTCTTTACTTAAGGTCATATCTGCTAACATTGAAAATTATACTATAATGCATAACACAAGAATTCGTTCTGTTCTACTTTGTGGGTGCAAAATATACCAATTAAGGATAGAGATTGTATGTAGATTAACTAATATTTGGTTGAATATGCCTGAAGAGTGTTGTGTATTTTCGAACTATTGAGTGAGCAGTGTCAAGGTCAACCGCAGTGAATTTTCGTCGACTGAGTTAGTGAGGGCAGGTTTTGTGTTTATACGACCACCACCTACCTGAACATACAGTTTGGTGATATAGTTGATTGGTGCTGTGGAACTAGATTATGAAGTCATGGGAAATCGGACTGAACCATATGAATGATCTGAATGATGATTGTACCCAAAAACTGAGAACTTCAAGTGATAAGGCTCATAATTTCTTGATCTACCACATGAGTGAGTACTCTTAGAATATCGATTCCAAAACCTGATTCCATTACTGCTCTGGGATTTATCTTGTTAGTTTTATTTCGCTGTCTTAATAAGATATATTAACTTCCACCAATGTCATTTACATACCAGATTCTACGTTGCAATGATAGCCCTAGTAGGACTTATAGTGTGATTCCTATACCGTTTCTGTGTTGCTCATTTTCCGAAGTATACTCTTGAATGGAAGTACTATCAAGTTTATTTTATCAATCCACCAGAATAATTTACTTTCTCTGCTTTTTTTAAGTATTCTTTCTTTAATTTTATTTACAATTCATTCTCACATGCAATCTACTCGTTTTTCTGATTGTTTCAATTTAATTTTTTTATCATTGTCTCTAATATTTCTCCTTATTATTTATTATAGACCCTTTTAATCCTAAACTTAATCTGTGCAAGAATTTAACTAGAACCAGTCAAGAATATATTACTTCACAATTATTAGCGGCCTATGGTTATTTCGGTGTACCAAGACTAGCCAGTAATGGTCGACATTTGTTCACACGCATTTCGGTTGCCGAAAAATCCTCTGTTGAGCCAATAGATAATTGTGAAAAGTTGGATCAGAGTACTAATAGCCAAACAATGATGTCTAATAATAAAATAAAAACAGCTGAAAGTATTCATTTAACACCTATCATTGATGATTCTGACAATTTCGCATCAAATTTGAAGAAAGTAGGTTAGACTTACCTTATTTATATAGATATAGCTATTATATTTATCATGAAAATGCTAGTTGTTTAAAACATTTATTGTTTAATAGTAAAACATTTCGGCCATTTTCGCTATTTGAATTAAATAGATATTATTATTATTAATTGTGACCGTTTACTTATTTGTCTGTCTGTTTTTCTACTTGTAGTCATTTAACTAAAGTGCCATTGGCTTATGATTCAGTTAATAAAAATAAACTCTATAAATTCGTCTTCTGGTGATTTAAATTATGTGAATGATATAAGCTTGTTTTTTTTGGAGTATTTTTTGATTTCGAAATTCATCTTCTGGATATATGAATTAGCATTTATTGGAATGTATTTCTTTAGGTTATTTACATTCACACTGAACCCTAAAAACAGTAGTGAGTTTTGAAATGCATTCTCGTTTTTCTTCATATTTACTGTTTTGGGACGGGATAAATCGTAGTTTAAGACATTCAATTCTCAGCCACCAAGTCTCATGTTCGAATCCCAGCTCCTCGGTTTTGGCCAATGGGTAGTATCCTTATGCAAGTATATTAATTTCTACTTAGTAAATAAGCTGAGTTGAATGATATTTGAAAGTTTATTAGTTCGAAATAGTGTGTTTTCTTGTTGCACTGAAAGCGACATCCTTCAGCAAACTAGAATGGAGTAGAATCAATTGTCAGACTACTGCACTGTTTAGCTTAGATGCTGTCAGTCATTGAGCTTTATTAATATTTTTCTACATTTTTACTCGATATAAACAGTTTACTGATTTCTAGAACATTTCTAAAAGTTTCTTTATTTGTGATAGTTAAAAATACTCTGTGTTTAACATTTCTAGGTAACAAATTTAGTTACAGAAAAGTTTCAATTACTTACAAACAGTGCCACTATTAAACATGCTGTCCTACCATCAACAGGGGAAGATTCAGTGGAGAGTTCTTCAAGTAGTAACTGCACACCATCGAATATTTCCAGCCCTGGAGAGAAAACTCTCCCATTTTTGCAGATGTTTACGTATATTCTTACTTATGTCATGGATGAACTATTTGAGTCAACCATTGTACCCGGTTGGTTTTTGTTTGCTTGTTTTTTTTTTGTATTTCCGAGTTCATATTTCTGCTAAAAATTATAAACTAATTGCGTTGATGTTTTTTTGTGTGTAATAATGCAAGCTACCATTTGACGTTTGTCTACTTTCAGTCTATGGTTTACATCAAAGAATACATCTATACAATTTAGGAAGAAGCTTCAAAGATATCATGTTTAATAGATTTTTCTAATCATGAGCATATTACATAATGTACAGTTCACTTTTAACTATTTTATCACACTGGTTTTTGCCCAGTAAATTAAAAAAACACTAGAAAATTGAGTTTGATCATTACATTAATTGATGCAATCATATTACTTACTTACTTACTTACTTACGCCTGTTACCCCCAATGGAGCATAGGCCGCTCACCAGTTTTCTTCAACCAACTCTGTCCTGGGCTTCCTTCTCCAGTTCTGTCCAATGTTTGTTCATTCCTCTCATATCTTTCTCTATTTCTCGGTGTAGTGTGTTCCTTGGCCTTCCTCTTTTCCTTTTGCCTTGAGGGTTCCATGTGAGGGCTCGTCTCGTGACGCAGTTAGGTGCTTTTCGTAGTGTATGTCCTATCCACCTCCACCGCTTCTTCCTGATTTCCTCCTCCACTGGAATCTGGTTTGTTCTCTCCCACAGTACGTTGTTGCTGATCGTGTCTGGCCAACGAATCCGAAGTATTTTGCGAAGACAACTGTTAATAAATACTTGTATCTTCTGGATGATGGCTTTGGTAGTTTTCCAAGTTTCCGCTCAATACAGTAGAACTGTCTTGACATTTGTATTGAAAATCCTGATTTTGGTTTAGGTTGAAAGTTGTTTGGAGTCCCAGATATTTTTCAACTGTAGAAATACAGTCCTTGCTTTGCTGATCCGCGCCCACACATCTGCATCGGATCCACCTAGGTTGTCTATGATACTGCCCAGATATGTAAAGGTGTTAACGTCCTCCAAGGCGTCTCCATCAAGAGTGATTTGGTTGGTGCATGTTGTGTTGCATCGGAGAATTTTGCTTTTTCTTTTATGTATGTTGAGACCTACTGCTGCAGAGGCTGCTGCTACACTGGTCGTCTTCTCTTGCATTTGTTGTTGCGTGTGCGATAGAATAGCCAGGTTATCTGCGAAGTCCAGATCGTCCATCTGCATCCTACCTGTCCACTGAATACCGTGCTTCCCTCCAGATGTTGACGTCTTCATAATCCAGTCGATGACCAGGAGAAAGAGAAAGGGTGAGAGTAAGCAACCTTGCCTCACACCGGTCTTCACCTCGAAAGAGTCTGTTAGCTGTCCTTCGTGTAAGATTTTGCAGTTGAATCCATTATAAGAATTCCGCATGATGTTAACTATTTTCTCAGGCACACCGTAGTGTCGAAGAAGCCTCCACAGTGTTTTCCTATCCACGCTATCGAATGCTTTCTCGTAGTCGATGAAGTTGATGTATAGTGGTGAGTTCCATTCAATTGATTGTTCCACAATGATCCGTAATGTAGCAATTTGGTCAGTACACAATCGATCCTTACGAAATCCGGCCTGTTGATCTCGAAGTTGGGCGTCTACGAAGTCGTTAATCCAGTTTAGCAATACCCTGTTGAAGACTTTGCCTGGTAATGTAAGAAGAGTGATGCCTCTGTAGTTCTCACACTTGCTGCGATCGCCTTTCTTTGGTATTTTGATCAGGTATCCTTCTTTCCAATCTGATGGTACTTGTTCCTCATCCCAAATCTTCTTGAAGAGAATGTGAAATATTTTCGCCGTTGCTCCTACATCTGCTTTGATTGCCTCTGCTGGAATGTTGTCTGGCCCTGCTGCTTTGCCGTTCTTGATTTGTCTGATGGCCATGCGGATCTCCTCAATTGTAGGTGCGCCAACATCGATTGGGAGGTCTGTGGATGCTGCTTCGATGTTGGGTGTGTTCAGTGGAGCTGGTCGATTCAAGAGTTCCTGAAAGTGCTCCACCCACCTATTTCGCTGTTGTTCAGTGTTGCCGATTACTTTGCCCTCCTTGCTTTTCACTGGTCGTTCTGCTCTATGATAGTTTCCGGTGAGCCTCTTTGTTGTATCGTACAATTGTCACCGGTGTCCGTATCTTGCAGCCTTTTCCACCGTCATTGCTAGATCTACCACATATTTTCGTTTGTCAGCTCTGATGCTCTTCTTCACTTCCCAGTCTGCTTCTGTGTATGCAGCTTGTGCGGTGACTTTCTGTGCTCTTGTTCGGCTGACATTGATTGCTGCCCTCTTGTTGCTCCTTTCTTCAATTTTTTCAAGAGTACCAACAGAGATCCATTCCTTGTGATGGTGCTTCTTGCGACCAAGGACCTCCTGACATGTTGAAGTGATTGCCTCCTTGATCCCTTTCCAATTGTTCTCCAATGATGGTTCCTCTCCGTTGAGTAGATCCTGAAAGTCCTGGAACCTATTGGTGAGGGTTATCTTGAATTCATTGAGTTTTACTGTATCCCGAAGAAAGGCTGTATTAAACTTGTGTGATGTTGTCTGCCCCGTTGTCCAGTGCTTTTTTAGTTTGAGTTTCATTTTGGCGATCAGAAAATGGTGATCTGAGGCTATATCAGCTCCTCTCTTGGTTCTCACATCCTCCATGATCCTTCTGAACGTTTTGTTGATACAGATCTGGTCAATTTGGTTTTGAGTAGTGTGATCCGGTGAAATCCATGTGGCTTTGTGTATGCGTTTGTGCGGGAATATTGTGCCACCGATGACCAGTTTTTTGAAGGCAAATAGGTTTGCAAATCTCTCACCGTTTTCGTTCCTTTCTCCCAGTCCATGTCGTCCCATGATGTCTTCATATCCAGTGTTGTCCATTCCAACCTTGGCATTCAGGTCTCCCATAAGAATCGTCAAATCCTTTAGATCACATCAGTGCAACTCCTTGTGTATGTGAAGCATTTTCCACTTCATGACCAGAGTATAACAGCAGTTCCCCTGATGCTAGTCTCAGTTGTCCTACCTGTGTCCAATGCGTTTCACTGATGCCGAGCACCTCGAGGTTGTATCTTTTCATTTCTGCCGCAACTTGAAATAGTCTTCTAGTCTCCCACAATATACGAACGTTCCATGTACCTAAAAAAATGGTTGCTCTGGTTGTCAGAAGAGGCATCGGCCCCGTGACTTCCGAGGGAACTCGGCTTTGATCACGCGACGTCATAATTCTTCTTCCAACTCCCAGGGTAGAGTTAAAATGGTTTGAATTGGTTTTTCTGGTTAGCGTTTTTTGGCAAGTTAGTTTTAGACGGAATGGGGTCGCCAACCCCATTTCCGACCCTCCTTTACCCGGGCTTGGGACCGGCAGTAGACCCGAAGGTTCTACTGGCGGAGTTGCAATCATATTAGTAATATTTTTTTAAACTTAATAGGATTTTCACTTTTTGTGTAGACGTCTAACTCACATACAAAGTTTGACCTAGGAACTCTGATATTTTACACTATATCACCATCTGATTTTTGTTGTTAACATATTTTAATAAAACCATGGTTTCGATTCAAGAATTCCGTTTAATTGATTACCTGAGCACAAACGCAGACACCTTATTTTTTTACTACACTTACAGGATTGATAATAATTGTTGGTTAGACACTCTGAATGACATGGCTCAAAACCGTTTGCAATGGCGCCGGTGCATTTATTCTTTGTGTTCTCTCAAATCCTAATCTTCTGGTCTCTTCAACACCTCTAGTTTTGACTTTCTAAACTTTTCTCACTGAATCATACTTCTTGAATAATATGTTCTAATCCTAACCTCTCTGATTACTTCTAATACCTTTACTACCTCTTCTACTATTGGATTTGAAATGACAATTATATCTCTGTGCTGATGTGGTATGGCAACATGAACTGATGTACTTTACGTACGAAGTTCTACGTTGCATCCGACTGACTGACTGACACTTCCAGGATGTGAAAAAAACCCATCAACAATGCTATTCAAGTCGTCTAATTTCATGTGAGTGGGACAGCATTTGAGTCTGGAAATTGACGTCTGAAAGTTAAACATTTTGATCTACAAGCTATATACTTCAATTCGATTGCCATCACTGAAAATCTATTTAACTCTGTAAATGCAGTTTAATTTCAGTATCAAAATATAATTTCACTTCAACTGCATATGTTTATCATGATAACACTTAATTAAACCCTATTATTATTTTTTTGTTTTTGGTTATTTCAATCAATTACATTTTGATGCATAATTTAGTTTTGATCACATGTTTTTATTATATTTTTTTCTATTTTATAAGATCTTGTCAATGAATGCTTGAATATGTCAGAAAAGAAATTTCACATACCTTTATCATGTTGTTCATCTGAGCTTACTTTAAATGATTCTATTCAGATTACAAGGAATTTCGCTCATGCTTATTGGTTATATTTTTTTAACACATATATTAGTAAAGGAAAGTTTACAATGTCAAAACGAATAATTAAAAAAGCCACTGCATTGGTATTCCGTAAAGTATGTATTTGCTATTAATAATATGAATTGCAATGTAATTATTATATTTGTCGCTAACTTTTGTTGATGTACATCGATGTATACTTTTTGGTTTACATGATTGAGTTGCAAAACTGATTTCTAGTCAGGCCTGCCCTACTGATAAAGAGTATTCTTTCTTAAGTTCTTTATTTCTTCGAAATCGTCGAATCGGTATTGATCTGATTTAAAAAGCTCTAGTTCAACCAAGTTCCAAGTTTTTAAAAATATTTGATCTTGTTTGTATCTTAAGTCAGTCAGTTAGTCAGTTAACGTAGAACTTCGTACGTACGTACGTACATCAGTTCAGGTTGCCATACCACATTAGCACAGAGACGCAACTGTCAGTTCAAATCCAATAGTGGTAGCGATAGTAGAAGTATTAGAAGTAATGGAGAAGATTAGGGTTCGAAAATACTATTCGGAAAGTATAATTCAGTGAAATAAATTTAGAAATCGAAAGACAGAGATGATGAGGAATTCAAAAGGTTAGAATTTGAGAGAGGATGCACCTGCGCCATTGTAAACGATTCTGAGTCATGTCGTTCAAGGTCTCTAACCATTGGTGAATTTTGTCTCGCTGACCACAACTAGGTAGCCTACATCTCTCAACATGACTAAGTCCACTTGTTACTGATTTAATGGATTAGCTTTTATCTTAAAATAACTGGAATAATTAAGGAAAATACTTATCGAAATCGTTTTGAAAAAACGAAGTTTTTTTAACTCTTCTTACACATCTCAACTTCAATATCTGATATGTAGTCTCATAGAATTAGAGACCTTGAACGACATGGCTCAAAATCGTTTTCAATGGCGCAAGTGCATCCATTCTTAGAGCTCTCTCAAATCCTAATCTTCTGGATTCGTCATCACCTCTACCTTTGTCTTTCTAACCTTATCTCACTGAATTATACTTCTTGAATAATATCTTCGAACCCTGGTATTCTTCATTATTATTAATACCTCTACTATTTTTATCACTATGGGATTTGATTTGACATTTGTGTATCTGTGCTAATATGGTATGTCGACATGAACTGATGTACATACATACGAAGTTCTACGTTGCAACTGACTGACAGACTGAGTCTCATAGAATAATTGTCTACATTATCACTAAGTGGGGTTAGTGATAGGTATCATCATAACGTATAACTAACAAATTTTTATCAAATTTCATAATCATATACTGTTTTTCGAATATCAATTCCTGTAATAACTACATGTTTATCGATTTGTTATTCTTTTTTTACTAAAAAAGAAAAAGAAAATATTTATTTCTTAAATAGATGTTCACACGACGTAATGAAATGATGACTTGGATAAAAAAAAATACATTTCATTCCTATCCATTGTTTCCTGGCGCTCCGTCCTACTGTAAGGTTGCGAGACTTGGCCGTTAAGAGTAGAGGACGTTAGTAGGTTACTAGTCTTTGATCATCGATGTCTCCGAAGCATTGCTCGTGTATCATGAGACAACCGTATAAGCAGTGCTGCCGTTAGGAAACGAGTTCTAGGTAAGGATGGCAAATCAATAGATGAAGCAGTGAAACTTCATCAGTTTAGGTGGTTGGGACATGTGCTACGAATGCCTAACCACCGACTGCCGCGAAAAGCTATGTTTTGTGGTGTAGGAGTAGATTGGAAGAAAGCTGAGGACGGCTAAACTAAGACATGGCAGAAATCCATGAAGTCAGTGACAAGTGGACTGAGTCATGTTGGTAGATGTAGACTACCTGGTTGCGTTCCGCGAGACGATAGTCACCGATGGTTAGAGACCTTAAACGACATGACTCAGAATCGTTTACAATGGCGCAGGTGCATCCACTCTTTATGTTCTCTCTAATTCTGACCCTCTGAATCTCATAATCTCTACCTTTCTCCCCCTAAATTTATCTCACTGAATTATACTCCTCGACTCATATCTTCGCTCCTTAATCTTCTCCATTACTGCTAATACTTCTATTGTTGCTATCACTGTTGGATTTGAACTGACAGTTGCGTCTCTGTGCTGATGGGGCATGGCAACCTGAACTGACGTACTTACGTACGAAGTTCTGCGTTGTATCTGTCTGTCTGTTCAACACCTCTAGTTTTGTCTTTCTAAACTTATCTCATTGAATCGTACTTCTTGAATAATATCTTTTAATCCTAACCTCCCCGATTACTTCTAATACCTTTATTACCTCTACTACTATTGGATTTGAATTGACATTTACATCTCTGTGCTAATGTGGAATGGCAACATGAACTGATGTACTTTACGTACGAAGTTCTACGTTGCATCTGACTGACTGACCTTGTGTCCTGAGATTGAATCCCATCCTACCGAGTTATGTATGACCACTCAAATATCATATTACTAATTCGTAGTCAATTTTATGAATTTGTAAATGATTGCTTATTAATTTGCATTATATTTTGCTTGCTTTTGTCTTTTTTATCTGTATAAATTTATTTCCAACTGTTAGGGAAGGTATCGTCATATGAATTTTCTCTGTCCATTTAAAAACTGTGTTTTTTTTTCAAGTTTAATTTATATTTTCTTTATTTCAGAGTATTAACTCATGGTCAGAAGGTTTAAAAATACAAAACTCTATTGATAGTGGTGTTTCAATTGATTCACCTCGTGATCAATCACAAGTAATTTTATTTATTTTGATTGTCTCTATTGTGTTTTATTAAACTTAATGACCATTATGTCCAGTTGTCATCCGATGCATTATTATACAAGCCAATAAGAAATAAGTGGACGTCTATGAAATAGTGATAACCTATTGTTAGTAAAGTAGTAAGGATGTCGTAAATGTGGCGCTAGTTCAATTCTTTAATGTAAACATTTAATACCAGGCTGTGAATACAATTTGTTAACTATGGGTCTTCCAAGATATATTGAATCTAACTGCCTACACCTCTTCTTATTTTGAACTCATAGTACTAGAATATCAAACCGCTTATGTTTGTTTGTCACCTTACTCTAATTTCAAGTTGATTTGTATTTTTTCTATTTTTATTTTTTAGTTTCCCCAGATGAATTATTCAACTGGAACTGTACTTGAAGATCTATGTAGTCATCTACTGTCTCCTAATGAAATGATTAAAGATGATTTAGAAAGTGTAATTGAACAAAGTCCAAGTGATTTTCTTAATTTCGAAGAAACATATCATTTAGAAAAAGTGGAAAATTCACACAATGAATTTATGACTAATTCTTATGATACTTTTTTGGATGATACTTTAGAAAATGATGTCAATGATGTTGAAATGCATGAACACTTAGAGTGTACTTTTGATTTAGATTATGGTGATGATCTGATTGACTATGAACCTTTGGAATCTTCAACTCTTCAAAGAAGTACTCATAATAATGTCAAAGTGAGCTAATTTTATTTATGTACAAAAATGTTTCATGGTTTTACTAAGATTATTTTACTTTTTGTTTGATGCATATTCATAGTAGGTAATATTGATGTTCAGAATACATGTTTCATTTTATTTCAACACTACATTTTCAAATATGTATTATGTACTTCCCACTTCTGTTATATAATGAGTCATTTGTCTAGTTATTTATTGTGTGGCACTTATCTGGGTCTTGGTAACAACCTGCACAAGTAATCATGGCTGTTTCAGACTTAAATATCGATTAAATATTCCTTGGATCTGTGGATATATAGGCATACCTACTTTTAGTCGCTCAGAACCAGCCTTAGTTACTACGTTGAAATGGTGGTTGGGTTTGCCTATCATGATGACCCAGCTGAGCTATATTGGCTGAAATACCTGTTCCTTTAGGTCCCACCTTACCAGGCAGGTCGACTGGGGAACTGTAGAACTAAAAATAGCAACTCAAGGTCTCAGCGTGAAGTCGTACTGTTGACTGTAGATAGGTGTGACAGCAGTAAGACGTATCCCTCGGATAATTAACATCTGCAGCGATGCTGCCCTGTCATAACAGCAGGAAGGGGTTTGGAAAGGTTGATCCAAAAATGTCACACCCCAGCATACCCCATTGGTTTCCGTCTCTGGCAGTAAAGCCTTCTGAAGAATGAAGCTAACACATCAGCTTCCTATGAAAAGGCCGTGCGCGACCGGCCTCTAGCTAAATTGTCCCTTGGGCTTTCAGGTAACGCTCCTAGGTCGCCGAGCCAATCCCCCTCAGGTCCCTCAAGAAATATCCATCCACGGTGTCGGCAACCGGGAAATGACCTCCGATCACATAACTCTAACAGCGCACGAGATCAACTTGCCCAAATCAATTTGTTCCTTTACCTCTTATCTCCACGACTAACCCTTCTTTTATACCTTTATCACTTTGCGCCGCTAATGCTGAAGATTTGCGTACACGAAATGTTATTCCCGGTCTCCTGAAACCCTGCACTAAACTACATTTTGGAGCATTTAATGCTTGGACCTTGTGCCAAATAGGATCATAAGCTTCCTTAGCTAGGACTTTGATGTATGTATGATGTATGATGTCTGCTGCTTCTCCGAAATACACATACCAGAGATCTGAAAGCCCCACTTGCGCCTCGCGTGGACTTGTAAGTGTGGGTGTAGCACTGGGTTCGTAAGCAGAACTAGCTCTCTTAGACTGAATTCCAGCAGACAGTCACTGGTATGCTGCACGACTAAACGGGACAGTAAGAACCCCCAAATACAGGAACATTCGTCATTGCCTCTTCGTTGTCTTCCACTGACCGCCGCTCACATAAAGTAAACGATGAGTTTTACCGAAACCTTTCCTAATTTCATCATAGAGCTAGGCGCTCTGATGTAGTAATAGTGGCTGGTGATATTGATGCCCAAGTAAATAAATTAAGCAAAACTGACAGACTCTAGGGTGTCGCGACTCATTGAGCAGATAAGGGAGACTGTCTGCTGCAGCTGTGCTCGGATAACCGCCTCTTCCTGCTAAGTGCCAACTTTAAGCACAAGGGACGACATCTTTTGACATAACGACCCGTAAAGTCAACTCTACACTTGATCCAACTATACCATATTGCTATCACACTCTGATGATGAGGCTCATTAGAAGACTGCCGCTCATTCTGGAGTACATGTCTAGACTCGGATCATGCTCTAATACGAGCACGTATTTGTGTGCGGCTTACTGAACGTAAGGAAGCCACATCAAAAAATTTATTTCCTTGGGATTTACTTCTCTAATCTTATCTCTGAAACCTAATTTTTTCGGTAATAAGAAGCCGAATGTGGATGGAGTTGGATGAGTTTATTCCATGTAATCGTTTACGCAGATAGACACGAAAACAAAAAGCGAAAACGTATAGCAAAGTGAAGCGGAGATGGAGATCCGACCAACTCACGACGACAAGTCATCACTAAGTATTTACAGTGTGACAAAAATAAGCTAAACTTGTGGCAAGCGAAATAAACAATGTACATACGCACTCAAGTAAAACCAATCAATGTTATAGGCGAATAATTTACAAGGTCGAATGACGTGCTAATAAAAACTCACGCATAATGAATTGTTTCGTCAAAAGTCTGAGATAAGCCCTGTGGGCTCGCTATATTAGTATACATCACAACGCCTGACTATAATTGTATTTCTTGATCTCAAAGCATCATTCGACTCTGTTGACTGAGAGAATTCGTAATAGTTTTTCTGTAGAAATGGTGTACTAACGAAGTATGTATACTTTGTAAAGAGTCTTAACTTTGTGGTGACCGATTTCGACGTGTTCTTAGGCTTCGTAATTAGCTCGTCCAGACAATCGTTACTAAATAGCATGTGACCGTTTATAAATCAGAAGGTGAACTCGAAGTTTTGAATACGTTTATTTTGGCACACCGCAAAATGGGATAGCAGATCACAAGTAGACCGGGCAGGCACACTAGCGGGCGAATGTGCGAATGGGCGAATGAACTAATAAGATTAAAATGTTCATATGCATAGATAGTAAAATGTCTGAGTCATCGTGATATTTAAGAGATTAATATTAAAGCGAATAGGATGAATATGCGTGTAGGCGGTAAGCAATGCTCAGTAGTACAAGCTCATACAAACCAGACAATAATTAAAGCCAATGGTACATATGAGTTTTTGCTATACAAATGGCTTGGTTAAATAAATTAATCGAAAGGCTTGACCGATACCTATTCCTTTACCTGACGTCTATTGTACTAAATAGCAGCCTGCTTTCTCCTTGATGATATCGAACTAGGGGTATGACAATAAAAGTTAAGTATAGACTATAGAGTTTCGATCGCATCTGTCTTCTAAGTATTTCTCAAGTATCATGTAGTAACCGAGTAAGCTATTCTGAGTTTAGCTACAGAGTACTTACTATGTGAAAATGTCAAGTCGTTTGATGAAGTTGTAGATTTTTGTCTATTAAGTTAGCATATTCCATAGTTGATTGTTTCTAATTTTGCCAACTTCAAATGTCAGCGCAGCTGTGGCCATTTAGTCACACTAAGATTTAAGCCGGTTATCTTTTGTTTTTTTTGTAAATTTTTTTGTAGATTCCTAATTTACTTTATCTGCACAATTTAGACTTGTGTACCTTGTCCATATTTCTAATGTTGAAGGGTAGTGATATCACCTGGTTGCCTAAACTGACTTAGTTAAGAATGAATTTTTAATCCTTCAGCATTTGGGTTGAGAGCATTTAAAATCAGCGTTGATAATCAAGTTTATATTTTATTTTGTTCAGATTGTTCAAATCTTTTATTTTAGAAATTAATGTTTTGCACTGCAATCAAAGTTACTTTTGTGAAAACTGTAAGTAATCAGAAGAAGTACTGAAAACAAATTGATTATTAGTCAGATTTGTTATCAATCCTTAGGGTACTTGTAAGTATAGTTACATTTCATGACTTTGTTAACCATTTATCAAACTGTTAGATTGGGTTATCACGCCTTTTAAATTAATTTGTTCAAGTGTAAGTAAGTTGTTTGTTAGTGGCCAGACCAAAACATGGCAGAAATCATGAAGTCACTGACAAGTAGACTGAGTCATGTTGGCAGATGTAGGCTATCTGTTTGGGGTCCGCGAGACGAATGTCACCAATGAGTAGAGACCTTAAACGACATGACTCAGAATCGTTTGCAATGGCGCAGGTGCATCCACTCTTTGTTTTCTCTCAAATTCTAACCTTTTGAATTCCTCATCATCTCTACCTTAATCCTTCTAAATTTATCTCACTGAATTATACTTCTCGAAAAATATCTTCGCTCCCTAATCTTCTCCATTGCTTCTAATAATTCTATTGTTGCTATCACTGTTGGATTTGAACTGACAGTTGCGTCTCTGCGCTGATGTGGTATGGCAACCTAAACTGATGTACTTACGTACGAAGTTCTGCGTCGTATCTGTGTGTCTGTCTGTCTGTTTGTTTGTGAAACAGATAAACACTGAATCATGTGCCATGCATGGATGGATACATTTTTTTTTAAAATAATAATCTTTTACATCACAAACAAATTTGGTAAACTTTCTGTGTAGTAAATATTTCAAATATTTCCCATATTCCTCTCTTATGTATAAAAAAAGGCACTTTACAAATTGCTATTAAAATCGCATTCACGGTAAAAATTTTCTAATGTAGAGTGATATATATATATATATATATATATATATATATATATAGTATTTCAACTCGTTTTTTAAACTTTTAACAGGGTTTTTTAAAATAACCACATTCTAAGGATTACAAAAAATTCTAAAAAACGCTGTGAAAATTTAAAAAATTTTTCGGTTATTTTAAAAAACCCTGTTAAAAGTTTAAAAAACGAGTTGAAATACTATATATATATAATATTATTTTAGAACTTTATATCATCATTGAAGTATGATCATTTTGTAATTTTTGAATTTGTAGTCTAACATTAACAGTTTAACATCAAATGATTCATTTCCAGTCAATCATTTATCACCTTCTATACATTCTTCAACAAATGAATTAGTTGATACTTCCAATGAACTTATTAAACATGATGATAATGACGGTAAGGATGCTACAGTATTAGAAAATAAAGTGACATTTGAAGTGGAGCAACAACAACAACACGACAATATTAACACTTCAATCAGTCCGAATAATAATAATAAAATCACTCCTAAATCTAAGAAAAAGAAAGGAGGTAAAAAGAAACCTCAATGGGAAGATGTTATTTCGTCTCGTTCTGCTGTCACTCCTGTAAGTTTTGTTGGCTAATATGATATGTGTAGGTATTTTAGTTATTGATCTGAAAATTTTTATTTTCCTTTTTTAGAATTTTTTAAAAACATTTTTTTTATATACCTCTCTGTGTTATGCACGTCTGTACGTATGCTTAAACTATTACGAGTTCACCTTAGTCGAAAAACGAGAACAAAATAATGAACCAGTGTCCACGTAGGCTACTATAATCCCTTTACCAAAATTGTATCAGCGAGAAGTCTTAATATAGCGTAGAAATTGTATTCTACAAACACCCAGCAAGTACATTGATCTCAAGTAACACATTGCGTTTATTTATACATCATAGAAACGTCCTTGCGTGAGTCACAAAAATAGCACACTAAAATGACACAGTAACTAACCATAGTCAAGGATTTTTCTGGTGGGCAATGTCATCCCAAGGTCAACTGATCGGTCCATGAAATAAATCCAAAATAATGTATTTATCAAGCGAGTTCTGGGGATCTAACATCCCCAACACTCTGGTTAGCGTTTTTCTGTAGCAAGATCCTCTTTTATGGAGTTAGGTTACTCAAGTCACCTTCTCTGGCAAGGCTTGGGACTGGCAAAAACCCTACAAGGTCTATACGTGGAGTTCTCTTCATATCTAACATCTGGTTAACTATTTCGTATTTCAAGTTATCCGCTAAAAAGTAGTAAAAAAATAAATGACTCAGCTTGCATTAACTGGCTGTAACTATCCTTGTTTAAATTATTCAATAGTCAAGTGATTCAATTTACATGTAATGGTTTTACAAGTTTCACTTCTCACTAGCGCTTGTTACAGATTCCGATGATTCTTGCTTTTATAGCAGTAGTATCATCAACCATTATTGTTTACGAAATAGTAAAAATAAATAAATATAGAACAAAATGTTCCTATTTTCATGTAAAATAGGATTTTTGATATTGACGATTTCCTCTCACTTCACTGTTCTACCAGCTTTTTTATTATGATAAATAATTTTCAACACTATTCTATATATTCTCTCATGGAATGTTACCGAGGACAATTTCATGAGTTAAAGAGCGAAGTAATGAATAAAATGATAATTCCATGATTATACCATGTGAATTAGTTTTTAAAGTATGCCTTCGAATAATTCGGAATCATTAGAACCGATTTTTCCGTAGTGAACCGAATATTAATATAAAATGAACATGATGTAATGTTATAAGCGATGTTATAAGTGAATTAGTTCGTAGGTCACACTTACCCCCTGTGGAACCGTGACTTAGTTGGTTAATGCGTTCGAGCTCCCTCTGTTCACTTCAGTTTAGACGACCAGTTAGTATCACTTGCTCCTCACATCTAGAGATGTCACTTGTATCCAATTGCCAGAGAAGTGAATTAACTCCAACTAGATTCAAATTTCTCATCTAAATTAATCAAGATCTGATTATCAGGTCTAATTCTTTGATGATATCCTTCTATCAAAGGAAATAGGTAGATTCATATTCCCCCATATCTACTAGTTTCTGTGTGACATGAATTCATTGGTGTAATTAGTATTTTGGGGCAGAGTTTTGGAGGTTTATGTTTTTACACATTTGAAATCATCAATCAATCATTGTTAGACCACCATTAGAAACCTGGAAGTACTGGACGGCCGTTTCGTCCTGGTATGGAACTCATCAGCAGTGCGCATCCACGACTCCTGCTCCTCACAGGATTCGAACCCAGGACCTTCGGTATTGTGCACGAACGCCCAACCACCGGACCGCTGTGTCGTTTTGTTTATTGATGAATCCAATTAATTTTCTCATGAATTATTCATTTCTATTTGTATTCCTCCTGTACGTATTTCTATTTTTTTGTTTACAATTTAGCCAATTGACGATGATCGTCCAGATTATTATAATTCAAAACTTTTAGATGATTTAGAACCGGAAGATTTTGATTTTAAATTTAGTTTACATGGTCAATTATCTGGTACACAACAAACATCAGTTTTAGGCTTAGCTTCAAGAAAACATCCATCTACATTAATAGCTCATCTTGATGCACCTCAACCGCAATGTCAAGCGTGCAAGTTAACTGGTCATCGACAGTCGCAATGTGAAACATCCAATGATAAATCAGTATCATTTTCAGCTTGGCAAAAATTATTAAAGAAATTACCATGGCCACCAACTAATGAACAAATTCATAATTTAAATTATTGCCTTAATAGTTTAGAAGAATATCATGAAACTGATAATAAAGTTAATGCACGTCAAGTATGTGATTTAACTTTTAATATTGATCATTGTTATTTTTTTTCTCTTCAAGGTATTTAATCCTTAACTGGTTTTTCTTACCTCCATTTTCCAATATGCACCGTTTTGTATTGTCTAGCTAGGGGAGGCCAGACCAACAGATGGCACAAATCCATGAAGTCACTGACTAGTGGACTGAGTCATGTTGGTAGATGTAGACTACCTGGTTGGGGTCCGCGAGACGAAAGTCACCAATGGTTAGAGACTTTGAACGACATTATTCAAAAATGTTTTCACTGGCGCAAGTGCATCCATTCTTTGAGCTCTCTCAAATCCTAATCTTCTGGATTCGTCATCACCTCTACCTTTGTCTTTCTAACCTTATCTCACTGAATTATACTTCTTGAATAATATCTTCGAACCCTATTCTTCTTCATTACCATTAATACCTCTACTATCTTTATCACTATGGGATTTGATTTGACATATGTGTATCTGTGCTAATATGGTATGTCGACATGAACTGATGTACATACGTACGAAGTCCTACGTTGCAACTGACTGACTGTTGTACTGTCTATTGAATGAACTTTGTTTTTTGTTTTTAAGCGTGAGTCACCTTGAATTCAATGTTAATCAGTTGGAATCTGATTCAAATATTATATATATATATATATATATATATATATATATATATATAGGTTGGCTTTTACATATATTACATCCAAAAACGCTGGCTGATTATAACAAATACAATTGAAACGGAATAATAATAGTGAAAGTAAAAAGGCGAATCAAACAAATAAAAACAAAGAAATCAATGTTATGTATTAGTGAAACAATCACGATATATATAGATAATGAGGATTTTTGTATGACTGCGATTATTTATGAACCATGGTTTTTGGGGAAAGTTAGATCCTCAGAACTCACTTGGTAAATGTTTTAATTTTGGATTTTATTCATGGACCGATCAGTTGACCTTGAGATGACATTTCCCACCAAGAAAATCGCTGTCTGTGATTGGTTACTGTGTTATTTCAGTGTGCTATTTTTGTGACACTCCCAAGGACGTTTCTATGATGTATGCTTGCTGGGTGTTTGTAGAATACACTTTCTACGCTATATCAAGACTTTTCGTTACTTCCTTTGGGTCAACGGATCACAGTAGCATACCCAGACACTGGTTCATTGTCTCGTTCTCATTTATCGACTAAGGTGAACTCGTAATACTTTCAAGCAAACCAACTGACGAACATAACAATGGTATATTTTGGTTTAGGATTATTTGATGAATAATGCTCATAAGGATTGGCATTCTGTACATCATTCAGTTAATCGTCAATGGTTTGATAGATTGATTGTAGTGTTTTTGTGTATATAGTTCGGAAATTTTCTTCCTTATTTCTACTTCTGTTTCACCAAGTTAGAGTTTACATGGTTCAAAATCAACATGAACATGAACAAATCGAAGAATACATCAAAACTTGTACGTGGCTACTGAGACAACCAGTGTACCATGTCATGTCAGATGTTATTCTTTTTTTTGGTTGATTCTACTATCTCTTGTTTTCTTTTCGATTGAACAATACATTAGTCTGCAATATTGTGTTTAATCAAGCTTTCTGTCATTAGAAAAATACATCTTCAAAATACATAAGCTGTTTATATATATATATATATATATATAATTGCGGTATTGTTTCCCAATAACAAATGGATATCCAGCTCAGAGCACGAATCACCATCATATAGAATAACTCACATCTAGACGTCATATATTTAAAGACAACTACTATATAGATGTTTTCTTTGTCATATTGACCTTTGTTTGACAATCTCATTATGATTTTGTTTTTTTGTTTTTTCTTCTATTAATTCGTCTATCATTTATAGGAACTTGTTAAAAAAATTCATCAATGTTTTTTATCTCGTTTTCCTACTGTTCAACTTGAATTATTTGGTTCTTGTGCTAATGGTTTTGATTTACAAACAAGTGATTTAGATGTGTGTGTATTTTTTCCGCCTGACTCAGATGAATGGTATGATTTAGAGAAAGGATATAAAACAGTTGAGGTATGTTTTGTTTTATTATCATTATTATTATTATTATTATTATTATTATATATAGAAAAAGAAAAAATAATTCAATTGATTTACTGTCTACTAGACTTTTACACTGTACTTTTCATGTAAGCTCTAGCGGTTACCGATTCACTCACTCTCTAATATGTAGTAATTGTAATATGTTTCAAATAATCAATCAATCAATAGGAATGTAGAACTGCGTACGTAAGTACATCAGTTCATGTTGTCATACCACATTAGCACAGAGATGTAATTGTCTATTCAAATCCAGTAGTAGTAGAGGTACTAAAGGTATTAGCAGTAATCGGAGAAGTTAGGATTAGAAGATATTATTCAAGAAGTAGAAACTAGTGAAATAGACTTAAAAAGATAAAGTTTAACCTTCTGTATGAATTGGTAAAAGCCAGTGCATGTATATATATATATATAACAGTCCGATTTTTGAAATCGACATCATGAATATTTTGAATTCAAGAATAAAAAAAGTGGTTCTTTGATAGTTCTCTCAATCTACTGTGATTCAATGAACACAATTGATGCATAGTTTCATAGTGTCCGTCGTAATTCTTTCCTTCTTCGATTATTATTTATATGAAATCATTTAATTCTACAAATTTCCTGGTGTTTTACTCGCTTTGATTAATTTTAACATAAAATACTATAAAATTGCAATTAGTGTTTCAATGCTAATAAATCCATGTACTCTGCTTCTGTTCACGTGTAACTAACTCATTAAATCTTCTTCGGATTTAATATCTATTTTTTTTTCTTTTGTTTTGTTTTAGCTAATTAAACAATTCAGAAAACTATTGTTTAATTGTGCTAATCGATTAAATATTAGACAAATTAAGCCAGTTCTCAGAGCTCGTGTTCCTATATTGAAAGTGTCATTTTCCAATTCATTTGAAGCAGATATAAGCTTTTCTAACTATTTGGTAATTTTTTTTTAATGACTATTGTTCAGTACTATTATTATTATTATTATTATTATTATTATTATTATTATTATTATTATCGATTATTGTCTAGTGTCTGAATGTTACCTTTTTTAACAGTTGATAGACATTATTTAACTAAATTAGTTAATTTGATCTCTTTGAATCAACTTTCAGAAAGTAATCAACAGAACTATCCCTTCTTACATATCAGTAATGATCAACAATCTGAATTTAAGAGAACTGATACTATTTCATAGTGTAATCACTCTTGACTGAGTCGCTGCCCGCTGTTTATCTTAGAGGGCCACATCCTGAGCTTTTGGCCTAGAGGTCTAATCCACCAGGCACTGGAGCAACATTATGTGGTGCAAAACCATGGTAACTAGTAACCAACGATTGGTTTATACGCTATTCGTTTCGTGAGGATCCTGGAGTCCATGTGCACCATTGGTTTTGAATGAGGGTTTTCCAACTCCCCTAGGTGGATCGTCCATACCTACCAACCTAATTGACGACGCGGCCGAACATTCGCTTTTTCTTCTACTCAATTCCATAAACAACACTTGTGTCATGAGAAGAGAGTGAGTAGGACTTCCGTGTCAGTTGTTATACATAGAAACATGGTCATTCGGGAGCATTTCGAAGTCTTTTTCAGATATGAAATCTGAGGTCTTTTATTCTTCTGAAATGGGTCATGTATAGCACTTAGATTCGTGCATTCCAAAGGGAACATCTCAGTAGATATCAGTAAGCTCTTGATTTACAATTTATGCTTTTTTTTCAGACTTTTTGTAGTTCTTTTACTTTGAGAAGTTTTCTCCCGAGGTTGTTATTGATACTATTCGGTTGGCTAAACCATATTAGATGGAGTGGAGTTTGAATTTGTAACAACGCTTGAAAGTTGAACGCCGTAATAAACAACATTTTTATTTCAATGTGAATAACGTTATTCTAATTTAAATCCAATCATCATTTGTGATCTCTGCTTATTGTGTGAATATTATTAGTCATTCTGATTATTATAAAACCAGATATTAAAACATTGTACTCTTGAAATTATGTTAATTTATGTCATTTAATTTTCTGTTTCTGTATTCTGTCTTTGCTAAACATTTGTAGGCACTTTCAAATACACGAATGCTTGCATTTTATACTAAAATTCAGCCAAAACTTCGTACTCTAGGCATTGCATTGAAAACTATCGCAAAGGTAATACATTTCTTCATATATATTGTTTTTAAATGTTGATCCTGTTTGCGCAACGGTTTACTTCTGTTTAGTTTAGTTTAATTAAAGTGCTTCATTTCAATAGAATTATCAAATGATTTTCCCTAGTTAGCGTCCTTTTTTAGGAAGGTTATATTTTACGTAATGAAATCGTTAACTCCATGCCCAACTACCTTTTGGTCGGGTTCAAGGCTGATAGTAACTCACAACAGTCAGTCATTCACATACTTGTCGAAACTGTTGTGCATAGGAAATTATTGTATTATGTATTCCATCTACTGATTTATAAAGCTAATCATGTACTTTATTATTTAGACAATTGAAGCAAATATTTTGAAACGTGTGACTTTTATCTCAAAACATTACTGGGATTATTTCTGCTTCTTCCTTTTTTCAGCGTTTACTGCTATTTTTCTATGATTAAAATTCACCAAGTTAGAGCAAGTATTACTGATATTCCTTTGAAAAGATATTATTCAATATATCTTTCTCTAGGGATAATTTTTTCTTTTAAGTCCACGGTGATATCATTTTGATAATCCGTTACAAAAAGTTGATGATTATTCGTTTCTAGCACTTAGCTGTTTAAATAGGAGGCTTTTGTTTTTGATCTGAACAACTGTGTCCACTTTCCCCATTCTTGTTTAATTTTGTCATAGACATGCTCCTAGAAATAACCTTATCGTCGTCTGAATTTTCAGGAGTAGACCTTCTACCAGGAAAGTCGCTTATTGACCTAGAATATGCCGATGACATAGTTCTATTCGGTGAAGACGCTGATAAATTGCAAAGTCTTCTGACCACCCTAATCAACAATGCAAGCATGTTCGGGATGCGGTTCTCACACTCGAAATGCAAAATGTTGATACACAACTGGTTTGCATCGGTACCTGAACTAGTGATAGGGAGTGAAGTAGTCGAGCGTGTTGAACACTTCACTTATCTTAGGAGTCTCATCAGCGCTGATGGCCTGGTGCGACTGACGAAATCTCAGCACGGATACAGAAGCCTCGATTGGCTTTTGCCAACCTGCGTCACTCATGGCGTAGGCGAAATATCCGTTTGCCGACTAAAGGACAACTATACCGCGCATCATTTCGCTCCGTCCTACTATACGGATGCGAAACATGGGCGTTCAATCATCGGTGTCTCCGAAGCATTGCTCGTGAATCCTGGGACACCCGAGTAAGCAATGCTGCCATTAGGAAGCAAGTACTAGGTAAGGATGGAAGGTCAATAGACGAAGTATTGAAACTATATCAGTTGAGGTGGTTGGGACATGTGTTACGAATGCCCGACTACGAACTGCTTCGAAGAGCTATGTTTTGCAGTGTAAGAGTAGATTGGAAGAAAGCTAGGGGCGGCCAAACCAAAACATGGTAGAAATCCATGAAGTCACTGACAAGTGGACTGAGTCATGTTGGTAGATGTAGGTTACCTGGTTGGGGTCCGCGAACGACATGGCTCAGAATCGTTTGCAATGGCGCAGGTGCATCCACTCTTTATGTTCTCTCAAATTCTAACCTTTTGAATTCCTCATCATCTCTACCTTAATCCTTCTAAATTTATCTCACTGAATTATACTTCTCGAATCATATCTTCGAACTATGATCTTCATTATCGCTATCACTGACAGTTGCGTCTCTTTGCTGTATTTGTCTGAACAACTGTGTTTTATTCGTGAGCAACAAAGCGAAATCTGCGCGATTAAAATCACAACTGGGCTGATTAAAAAAAGACACAACACAACACAACACAATGCATCATTTTTAGTTTGATCATAAATAATGAATAGAGAGAGAGAGAGAGAGAAAGAGAGACAGTATTGAACAATTTAATTGAAATTTTTCAAAAATATTTTGTATTATAACTTTTAGATACAATAGCTGATCGATTCCTTTAAATGGCTGATATTTCTATAAAATTGAAATTTAGATTTTTAAAATAATATTTTTATAACTGATATCAATGAATAAAATTGATCGTTTCACATGTGTTTTATTTACTGAGCGAGCTTATCTGTTTTTTTTTGCTTTTGCTTTTGCTTTTTAATAGATAACAAAAATTAGAACAGCAGCCTCTGGAGGTATTTCTTCATATGCATGTATCATCATGTTAATTCATTATCTTCAGCAAATTGATCAACTTCCTGTTTTACAAGAAGTAAATTGATTTATCTCTTTGAATTAAAATTATTGTTATTATTAATAATAATAATAATGACCTGAGCCAGTGTATATGCTTTAATGAATAAAATATATAACTTCCAGAACTCGTTGAATATATTCAGTAGTAAAACAAGACCACTTCAACTACAATGCATATATATATATATATATATATATATTGTCTTTTGAATTTTTGTTTGTCTCGATTTAGCTTTATGAAGGATCAACGAAACCGACTAATATTGTCAACGGTTGGAATGTTTGGTATCAAAATAATTTATCCACTGTAGTAAGTATGAATATTACTAATAGAATTAATTGCTTTTTTTTGTTTTCTATGAGAATTGCAACTATATTCAGTTGAAAAAAAATTTGATTGCCACTCCTTAATCATAAGCTAAATAGAAGTACAATACAATTCAACAATTAACTGTGAATCTCTTACTTTAAAAGCTGCAATTACTAGCACAAAATATTAAAAGGTACATATGATTTACTAAAAATAACTTCCTAACTGCAACCCTATGTAGTAAAGACAAAATAAAAGTTTTTTTGATCACTCAGTAATACAGTGAAAATTTTGGAAATTTCATTGCAAATCAATCACTTAAAGTGTGAATTTCTAGTCAACAGATCCAACTTTTTTCGGGCAGATTTTTAAGGTTTCTCTGTATTTTTACACATTTCAAATCATCAATCAATCATTGTTAGACCACCAATGGAGTTTAATGATATCGGGTGTAGGCAGTAACTACCAAAGACAAATGGGTGAGGTCGCACAAAATCCGTAGATCAATCAGAGTTAGACATTAACACCGTTGGATGTCAGCCCAGTGGTCCGATGGTTAGGCGTTCGCGCACAATACCGAAGGTCCTGGGTTCGAATCCTGCGAAGTGCAGGAGTCGTGGATGCGCACTGCTGATGAGTCCCAGTACGAGGGCTTGGTTTGAGGAGATAAGAGAGTTATTAAGAGGTGGATAAAGGAATGGATTGTGACCAATTCGGTCTCGTGTGATATGATGGGTATGAGGGCGGATGTAACATCACGGCTGCCCACACCGTGGGTGGGTTCTGGTTGTCAGAAAGGGCATCGGCCTCATGACTTCCGAAGGAACTCGGCTTCCATCATGAGACGCCCTTAACTCTTCTAAATGAAAACCTAACTCCCAAAGCAGAGTTTATATTGTTTAATGTATTTTTTGTTAACTTTTCTTGGGCAAGTTAGTTTTTTCCTGGATGAGGTCGCCAACCCACATCTTAACCCTTCTCCTTCATCAGGGTTCGGGACATGCAGTAGCCTCGAAGGTCTACAGTCCGAGTTACCTTGAAGTTTATTAAATTAAATTCTAATAATGATGTTAAGATATGATAAGTTGATAAGAGTTCATTTGAAAATATTGATTTGACGATAAAATCTATTTCCTTATTATCAATCCAACTTACCATATGTAGCTGTCAATATTTAAGACTTCACATTCCATTCGTTTAAGCTATAAATAAACTATAAATTTTTTGACTATTGTATAGACTTTTTTGATTAATTTCACACTGTTTTATTGATTTTCTAATTCACAGTTTATTTGAGCTTTTATATTATGAATTATGAATTATTCTCTCTATCTATCTATCCATCCAGAATCGTTTATGGAAACCAGCTAATCCGGAACAATCAGTAGGAGATATGTGGTTGGGATTTTTGCGTTATTATCTATTCGAATTCGACCATGATACTTATGTTGTAACAATCAGACAAAAGAAGTTGTTAATACGATTTATGAAAATGTGGAGATCTTTATTCGCTATTGAAGGTAATCTAACTTGATCATTAGTTGCCTTTAACCCAATATTTTCATTTCAGTAGTTATCATTTAGAATAATGTTCTATCTAGGAGCATGTGTATGAAGAAATTAAACAGGAATGGGAAAAGTGCATATCCCTGACGGCCACTACTTGAAGTGAAGAATTCCGATGACAGTTCGCCGCCATAAGCTCTCACTCGAGTTCGTACTTACGTACGAAGTTCTGCGTTGTATCTGTTTGTCTGTCTGTCTGTCCTTAGAATAAATCATCTCCATACTTTGAAAGTATCACTTCTAGTTTTTTGATTTAAGTTAGGCAATAATTATGTATACATATACATACACTAAAACATTTAATTCAATTTTTCCAATATACTTTTTTGACTGTTTTCGATTTATATATTTAAACGGGGCTTATTGAATAATTTAGAGTTGCATTTTGAGATGAAGGTAGGTAATTTGTGAACTTGCACAGATTCCTCATATGTTTAGATTATCAGCCACGAGAAAATGTGGTAAAATAATCGCGCCATCATGGCACTAAAAAGATTTTAGAAACAAATAATCTTCACACTTGTCTTTGTGTTCTCTCAAATCCTAATCTTCTGGATTCTTCAACCCCTCTAGTTTTGACTTTCTTAACTTTTCTCATTTAATCATACTTCTTGAATAATATCTTCTAATCCTAACCTCTCCGATTACTTCTAATACCTTTACTACCTCTACTACTCGTTGGATTTGAATTGACAAATATATCTCTGTGCTGATGTGATATGGCAACATGGACTGATGTACTTACGTACGAAGTTCTACGTTGCATCTGACTGACTGACTTTGACAGACACTCGTCTTAGCTTATATTTATAAGTTCTTATAAAATTACAAGGTGAAGAGAGCGGAACTAATTGTGTAACTGTTAATATTTATCAATTAGAAACTGTTAATTAATTATCTCTTTCCTCACATTGCCATATTTCATCGTCGTTCATCCGTGGACTTATTGTTCATTATGTTTACATGTTATTTGGAAATATCCATTTTTTTTGTCCGTTAACGTGTTGTGAATGAATCATCACTGTGATTGTATCCTCGGTTTCAGGAATGTTTTACTTTTGCATTGAATGTCCTGATCCTTTTTTTTATTCCTTACTTTTCTAGATCCTTTCAATTTGAATCACAATCTTACTGCCGGTTTAAGTCATTCAAGCAAGTTCTTATTTTGTATTCATAATAATGATGATAATAATAATATTGAATAATTTGTGTTTTTGACGTTCTAAAATTTCTGCATGTTAAACCACGGTTTTCGTATTGACGACTGGATAGTAGTTCTCACTGATATGAAACAAGTTCTTACCACATATATTATAATGTTCACAGCCATTTGATAATTTATAACGAAACTAATTTGGTATTTATATTGTTTTATTATTAAGGTGATACGAAAACTACTTCATTTTTTATTAGTTATCAGATAAATAATGCTATGAACATGACTAAATACAATCTGTTTTCTACTTTACAACTGACTTAAACGTAAATACATCCTTGTAAGTTATTATCATAGATAACGGCTTGCATGTCGTGTAAAACTTAAGTTTAAAAAGTAATAAAGATGAGAGAGAATATCGACAACCGTAACTGAGAAAAGTTCACAGTAATTTGATTGTTATTTAAAATCAATTGATCTTTATCACAGCGTTAATAATAATTGTGCAGTAATTTGTTTATGCTTAAGTTTTTCATGGGATCTCTATAGTTTGTAAGTTATTGAATTCCGAAAGAATCATTATGAAATTAAAAGTAGTATAATTTTCGTGCATTTCGACTATGATAAACATTGTCCTAGAACACTAATCTCACCGATTACTGCTAATACTTTTACTACATCTACTACTATGGGATTTAAATTGACAATTGCATCTCTCTGCCAGTGTGGTATGGCAACTTGAACTGATATACGTCAGTCAGTCAGTTGCGACGTGGAACTTCGTAAGTAAGTACATCAGTTCATGTTGCCATACCATATTAGCACACTCGTCGAGGCAGTCGGTGGTCGGGCATTCGTAACACATCTCCCAACCATCTCAACAGCCCACGAGACCAAATGGGTCGCTGATGTATGTCCGTCCGTGCGAAGTTCTACGTTGCTGTTGATTGATTATTTGATTAATATCAACATTGTTCTTGACTGATGTACTGTGTCACTCACAGTATTTAGATATTGTATATCATCAAAAAGCGGTTTAGTCATGTTTTTTTAATTGTTATAGGAATACTTTTTTATCTTCGGTGATGCAAATAATTTATACGATGCTTACTTATAAACGCTGATTAGTCGAATTCAAGTTTGTATTGTCTTAAGGATACTCAGAGCTCCAGAACCGTCTTGAGAATGCCATATATATATATATATATATATATATATATATATATATATATATATATATATATATGTATCACAGCCATACAGTAGGACGGAACGAACTACTGCACAGTACACTCGTCCTTCGGTCAGCAAACGGATACCTGGCTTACACCATAAGTGACGTAGATTGACAAAAGCCAATCGAGCTTTGTGTATCCCTGCTGAGATTTCGTCAGTCACCAGGCCATCAGCTCTGATGAGACTCCCGAGACAAGTGAAGCGGTCAACAGGCCCAACTGTTTCACTCCCTACGCAAGCCACTGTTAAAGCGACATTTTGCATTTCGAAGGAGAAAATGGCATCCCGAACATGCTTACTTTGTTACTCAGGGTAGTCAGAAGACTCTTCATTTTTTCAGCGTCTTCACCGAATGTAAAACAGTTGTGATATTATAAGTTGTAGTGATTGATGAAATTAATATTGGTGATTATCTTGTTTCAACTTTGGTACCATAGGAAAATCATTTTTATCAACCACTTGGTAAATCTCTTGGTAATGATGATATTATCAAAGTTTTTGTTCTAAATGAGCGGAGGAACCCCTTTTGTGATTAATGAGTATATTTTCTCTTGTTTTAAACTTTTCTAGTATTTCTTCATTTGCTTACCGTATTCCACACGGTTCTTGTTCATCATACTACATTCTTACTGAAACAAATGCCCATAAATCAATGGTGCTAGTGAGTTACAAATTTATAAATTTTCTCTAATGATCACTTAGTTTTCGTTAGTTAAATAAAGTATTTAAAACGTTGTTAATTTATTTTCAGGCAGAGTTTTGGAGGTTTGTGTTTTTACAAATTTGAAATCATCAATCAATCATTGTTAGACCACCATTAGAAACCTGGAAGTACTGGACGTTTCGTCCTCGTACTGGGACTCATCAGCAGTGCGCATCCACGACTCCTGCACTTCGCAGGATTCGAACCCAGGACCTTCGGTATTGTGCGCGAACGCCTAACCATCGGATCACTGGGCTGGCATCCAACGGTGTTAATTTAGTTATTGCCGAATTTTGAAAAAAATAAGAAGAATCACTGGCGGAGGTTATATATGAAAATAACAAGTTTGATCAAAGTTTAATCTTCACTACATCTTACTAATCGGAATAAGTGGCGCGACAGCTTGTTCAACACAGAAATAAGGTCAAATCTTCATCTTTCTCTTAGTCAGTTTCGTAGCTCCCTCTTGGAAAGAGCCATATGAAAAAAACATCATTTAGCTTCAGCCTGTTGTGATAAGCATAGAATTTCGCGCGGAGGTGCATCGTTTCAAGTGTTCGCATCATAACACAGCGAAACAAAATTAATAAGATGGGTTGTCAAAAGTCTAAATTACAGTGAGAGCAAGACACATTTAACGAAAATACGGTTCTAAATTGTTATAGTAAACCAGTTTACAATAGCAGTAGTGATCTACACTAGTCGACAGTTTACGATTTTACGACTACAAGCATCCGCGTAAATTAGTATTTCTCCATCCACCACTATAAGTTTAGATACATTATTTTTCGGTAGGTTTAACACATGTTAATGAATTTTCGTACGGTTTCATCATCCGACATTTCATTTTTACGTAATGCTCTATCTCTAAGTTAATCATTTCTCGCTCAGCTCTGTTCTGAAGTACATGAATAATGCTTTGTAAACATTTATAATATAGTACCAGTAAATATTTTTACTCTCCACATTTTATCATAACATATTTTTTTTGGCTAAGACTTAGAAAAAAAGTTTGGTTTCGTTAGTTGTATGTTGTTATATTTTTTCAGTTAGCAATTTCTAAATATTACTTTTCATCTTGAATTCTTTTTAGCTATTTGTTTTCTCCAGAATACATTGTTGTTGAAAGAAGTTTCTTTAAAAAGAATACACATAATGAACTTGCACAATGGGCACCTCTATGTTCAAAAAATAGAAATGAAACAAATAATCCTGATGTTGTTGCATTAAATTCACTGATCGGTCATTTTTTAGGTACAAATCAAGCATCACAATCGAATTCACAAAAACCAATCAATCAAACCTATCGTAATTCAAATCAAAATCGTCAGTCGAATTCTTTCAAGAACTTCACAAAATGTAATAGTATTCCAAAAAACAACACATCAGCAAATGCCTATAGGAATCCTTTTAAACCACAAAATTGTCAAATTCAACCTATATTAAATAATTTTCAACAACAACAGCCTACCACTTCCAATTTACTTTATACACAACCGTATCGTGTAAATACGCCGAATAATTGTAATTTCATGAATCTTTCAATACCATATCGCGCTCCTTTATTTCCGGTTAATACTATTGGTCCTGTACTTAATTATGGTTTCATACCTAACAATTTGACAAATAACAACACTATACAACCTAATCCCTATAGTCGTTATTTAACCCCTGTTATTAGTGTAAACAATCAACAGAATAGAAATACTACTACACAAGCGAATTGCCCAATGAATTATCAACCACAAAGTCAACAAAACGGTAATAATAATAAGCCTAAAAATTGTCCTAAATCCAATCCAGGATCCAGTTCAAGTGTTTCATCTACTTCGTCAAATCATCCATCTAAGCCAAAAAAGTATGAAAATGATTATAATATGTCTAATTCTCATCAAACTACTAATAATATATCACGAAAATCACACAATCATGGTAAGTATAGTTCTTAGTTTAGTTTAGTTAAGTTGGACTCTATAGTTTCAAGATTGTAAAGCTAAACATTGAAATCATTTTTAAACAAAATAAGTCTGGCTTTTAATATACTTAAATAGATGAAGCAGGAATGAAAATATATTTACAACACACAATAAATTCATTGTATTACGTTGCTTTCTTTCTCTATACCAAAATTGTCCTTTTTGGTTCATTTAAATCTGTTGTAAAAACCGATCAGTTGCATGAATAAAAAATAATCGTACAAATATTTCATGTTTTACTTTCACATTAGTTCCAGTTTCAATACATATTTTCTCCGTCAAGTCAGCAAGGTAGGCGTTTGTTTTCTTTATAGAAGTTGATAAAGTAACTCAAAGCTTCAAATCCTCATATACCTTATGGATAATTGATTTTGTTCTTGAAAAAAAAATGTAGTAGCGAATCTTCATCAGTTGAAGTGTTTGGGACATGTGTTCAGTATGCCAAACCACCAACTACCCTGACAAGCGATGTTTTGCGGTTTAGGAAGTAAGCTAAAAGAAAGCTGTGGGCGGCCAGGCCAACACATGGCACAAATCCATGAAGTCATCAACAACTCAACTGAGCAATGTTGGTAGATGTAGACTACCTCGTTGTGGCTCGCGAGACAATAGTAATCGATGGTTAATAACCTTGAATGACACGGTTCAAAATTGTTTGCGATAGTGTAGGTTCATCCATCCTCTGTGTTCACTCAAATCCTAATCTTCTGAATTCCTCATCACCTTTATCTTACTCTTAAATTAATTTCACTGGATTTTACTTGAATAATTTCCTCGAATCTTAATCTCCATTACTGCTAATACTTCTGTTGACGTACCAATATGGGACTTGAGTCGACAATAGGATCTGTGTACTAATATTGCAACATGAAGTGATGTACGTGCGTACGAAGTGATACGCTGTAGCTGACTGACTACTTTTGCTTCTATCTATATATTTCTTCAGCTAATGTTACTTTCTTTGTATTCAATAGATTTTTGAGAATGAATTCAGACAACTTAGTTTTTTTTAGATGACTAGCATTTGACAATCAGAATATTGAGAAGCTGCATGAATAGTCTTAAGTACCTTATTTGTTATAGCTAAGTATTCTCCTAGCCCAATTAAATGTTCAGGTGAAAATTTTGGTACTTTGAAGTTCTCTTAGCTTTAATTACCATCCTGAACATTTTCAGTACCCTCTTCATGTAGAATTGAACTTTCTAGTGATTTTTGACAGATTTACTTATGATCTTGCTTCCAATCGACTATCTTCGTAGGTTTTGTTATTGTTCTTTTTCGTTAAATCCATGACGATCATGTTTAGCCAGACTTGCAATATATCGACCTCTCTGATATAGATTAATCAAACTGAATCTAAATCGATATATATGTTGATTATATTGACGTCTCTAGAAAATTTCTGGCTTTCTTACAGTTTTTTTTTAAAGATTCCCATTGTGAAAATTAGAACAACACATATAAGCGAACAATATTGTTTTCGATTAGATCGTCATCAGGCTTTACTCTAATATACATGAATATGACCTACTTTAGTTATCATATTTTACAAATTTTCTTACTACTATCAGTACACCTGTTTTCCTATTATCCACTTGAACTTTTGCCTATTAGATGTAGTTACGTAATCTTTTTCATTTCATTGTGATTTCTTACAGTTTGCCTGACATTTCTTCAGTCGAATAAATGTTCATGGTTATTTTTATAGCGTTAATATTAGTGACAGTAAATCGTATGGCCTAGCTCCTAATGCATGTTCGCTTATACATGATATATTACTGCACTATAATTAATAGATTTCGGTTGATTGAGATTTAACTGGAATATTTAATTTTTTGTTATTGACGGCATATGACTTAATAATGATAATTCATTTGTCAGAAATATCTTAAGATAAAACTGTTCGATAAATACTTACTAAAAAAAGGATAACCTTTATGATTTCCTAAAAAGTGTTTTGCCATATTACTTGTTTTGCTCTTTCTTTTTCATCTTTGTCCTCTAAGAACAGCATTTTACATTAAGAAAAATATTATTTTATGTAGTTATTTATTATTTACAATTGGAATCTTGCATTTCTAAAGATTCACACAGCACCAATCTTGGAATCAATAATAATCACACTTCAAAGAGTAATAATTGGTCATCTCCAGGGAAAAAGACAAAGAATCCTAATGCCACAACATCATCATATGGACAAAAACAGTTTGATTATTTATCAAAAGTAAAATCAAATTCTCAACAATCTCCACAGAAAGGAAAATATGCACAGACTAATGAATATGTGTCAAACTCACATGAAATTGGACAAAGTAAACAAGACAATTATTCATTATCAGAATCGAATAAACCTAATAATTCATATTTTAAAAACAATCGAAATCCTCAACGTTTCAATTGTACAACTCATCCACGTGGATCGTCACATTCATCAAATAATAAAAATAATAATAACAATGATCATTTAATCGATAAAAATTTAATTGAACGTCTTCACAATATGTCCACTACATTTTCATCTTCACAGAGTAGTAACATTAACTAGCATCATTACTATTCTAATAATTCATAATTTTAAACTAATCTTTATCACAAATGTATGCAGCAGATATGAATGTTTGTACTGGTTGCTTCTTTTTTTATTTTATTGGACATTTTGTTTAAGATTTATTGTTATTAATAGTCGAAACTCATGGTAAAATCCCAGTACTACAATATTATTTCTTAATTTCATGGACCTTAGTTAATTTACTGGGGTAAAGGGAATGAAATAGATTGTCTAGTGGTTATGTTACGCTTAGTACTAAGTTGAATACTTGAATAATATAACAAGCGGTAATAACGAGATTTGAAGATTACAGTTCGAAAGAGTATTGATTCAATATGGACTTCGTCATTTTGCCAGATATCAGACTATCCATGCACAATGCACAGAGAAACCATATGAATGACTGCGGGCTTCCCTATACTGCAGCACACCCTTGGGGAAACATAACGTCCTAATGCAGTTACAATGTGCGGTCTGTCAACCAGATGGACGGTCATCCATCTCGCTGTTGCCTCTTCGTCGTATCTACCTATGCCCCCACTGACTGCAGTTCAGACGAGGTTAAAGATGAGTTTTACAGAAAGCTTTCGGACCTCCTCCAAAAAGCTAGGCGCTCTGATACAGTAATAATGGCTGGTGACTTTAATGCTCAAGTAGGCAGACTGAGTGAAAATGAAAGACACCTAGCTGGATGTTATGGTGTCGTGGCTCAGAGAACAGACAATGGTGATCGTCTGTTGCAAGTATGCTCAGACAACCGCCTATTCTTAGCAAACACTAACTTTAGGCATAAGGAAAAGCATCTGTTGACCTGGCGACCTCCAAAGTCGTCTCAACGTTGGACTCAACTAGATCACATTGCCATCAGCAATCGATGGAGGGGTTCGATAGAAGACTGTCGCTCGTTCTGGAGCACATGTCTAGATTCAGATCATGCCCTAGTGCGAGCTCGTATTTGTTTGAAGCTTACTGGGCGTAGGAAAGACACCGTAAGAAAGCCTCTTAGGGTTTTACTTAATGATAATAAGGCGAAAAATATATTTCAGGAATAACTAGAAAGACAGTTAGGCGACCGTTTAAGCGATTCCCATCCGGAGGCAGGTTGGAATGATATCAAAAAGGCTGTGGAAACAGCAATGATATCTGCTAGTAAGGTTGACCATAAGGCTAGAATGAAGCCGTGGATCTCAGTAGCATCCACCGATCTGATGGATGCCCGAAAACTCATCCCACCTGGCTCTGAACATGATGAAGAACGAAGTCAACTTAGGCGCAGACTTATAAAAAGCCTACGTAACGATCGCGAACAGTGGTGGGTGGCGAAATCAAAAGCGATGTAAAAGGCAGCGGCGATAGGCTACAACAGACAGCTGTACCGATTTATCAAGCAAACTGGTATTAGGAATCCTAGTGTAAGTGATACTATCTCAGAAAATGATGGGACTATTATTTATTCTCAATCCAGGAGACTGGATCGATGTGCAGAACACTTTAGGGATCAGTTCAACTGACCTCGAGCCACTCTTCGGTTGCCCACGATCTGCAGTCATCCTGAATGGCAAATCGTTGTAAGTTCCCTTAGTCTTATTGAAGTCAAAAAGCGTTAGGAAATCTGAAGCGAGGGCGAGCTGCAGGTCCTGATAGACTGACCCCTGAGATATTTAAGGATGGTGGTCCAGTTTTTATCTCGCTAGGTTGACCGAGATCTTAGGTAGAATCTGGGAACTGGACTCAATCCCATCCGACTGGTCTCAATAACTGATTGTCCCAATTTATAAGAAAGGACAGAAGTCTTCTTGTGACAATCACAGGGGAATCAGTCTAACTGATATAGTATCAAAAATTTTGGCCACAATGATACTTCGACGCTTAACGAAAGCTCGTGAAGAGCAAACTCGAGAAAACCAGGCTGGTCTTCGACCTGGACGTGAAGAATGAATTCCATGGTATTCAATTACACATACGTCATAGACTCTACACGAACACCACTGGTCGAGTGAGAGCTTATGGCGAACTGTCACCGGAATTCTCTACATCAAGTGGTGTCCGTCAGGGATGTCCACTTTCTCCATTCTTGTTTTATTTTATCATAGACATGCTCCTAGAAATAACCTTATCCTCGTCTGAATTTTCTGGAGTAGACCTTTTACCAGGTGGTTCGCTTATTGACTTAGAATATGCCGATGACATAGTCCCTACTTCGTGAAGACGCTGACAAAATGCAGAGTCTTCTGACTACCCTAAGCAACAATGCAAGCATGTTCGGGATGTGGTGTTCCCCCTCGAAATGCAAAATGTTGCTTCAAGACTGGGTTGCATCGGCACCAGAACTAGTGTTAGGGAGTGAAGTAGTTGAACGTGTTGACCTATTCACTTATCTGGGGAGTCTCGTCAGCGCTGACAGCCTGGTGACTGACGAAATCTCAGCTCGGATACAGAAGACTCGATTGGCTTTTGCTAACCTGCATCACTTATGGCGTAGGCGAGATATCCGTTTGCTGACCAAAGGACGAGTGTACTGCGCAGCAGTTCGCTCCGTTTTCCTATATGGCTGTGAAACATGGCCAGTGAGAGTAGAAGATATTCGTAGGTTACTGGTTTTCGATCATAGGTGTCTTCGAATCATTGCTCGTATATCGTGGGACACCCGAGTGAGCAACGCTGTTATCAGGAATCGGGTGCTAGGTAAGAATGGCAGATCAATAGATGAAGTATTGAAACTTTATCAGTTGAGATGATTGGGGACATGTGTTGCGTATGCCCAACCACCGACTGCCTCGTCGAGCTTTGTTTTGTAGTGTAGGAATAGGTTGGAAGAAAGTTAGGGGCGGCCAAACTAAAACATGGCAGAAATCTATGAAGTCATTGACGAGTGGACTTATCCATGTCCGTAAATGTCGACTACCTGGTTGGGGTCCGCGAGATGATAATAATCGATCGTTAGAGACTTCGAGTGACATGGCTCAAAATCGTTCGCAATTGCGCCGGTCCATTTATTCTCTGTGTTCTCTCAAATTAATCTTCTGGATTCTTCAACCGCTCTAGTTTTGACTTTCTAAACTTTTCTCACTGAATCATACTTCTTGAATAATATCTTCTAATCCTAACCTCTCCGATTACTTCTAATACCCTTACTACCTCTTTTACTATTGGATTTGAATCGACAATAACATCTATGTGCTGATGTGGTATGGCGACATGAACTGATGTACTTGACGTACGAAGTTCTACGTTGCATCTGACTGACTGACTGGAGATGGACGGTCTCCTCACCGGATCCTTATCCGTTTCATGATTAAGGAGGCAGGCAATGTGTAATAGGCAAACCCCACAATAAAGCACACAACTCAGTCATATATATATATATATATCCCAGAATCTTGATGGCGTGTACGAATATTTCCAACCAATAACGCGCTTTTCTTACCCTCCATCTTGTTGTCCTGCTAGTTCGTGTACACACGCACAGGATATCTGAGTTTACCCAGCACATGAACTACCTCTAGTCGCAGATATTTTACTTCGTCCCAGGTATGTTTAAATATTCTATCCCGTATAGTAGGGTACGGTACAACCATAGCACATGTACAACGGTAGGCCTACTATAGTGATTATTGCTGATGTTTTGTTTTATTTCTCTATTAGTAGATTATTATAAATACTGTAGAATGACCCCGGATACAATGTTTATACATCAAGAAGGTGTCCTAATCCAGACCGATGCCAAATGTTGCGGTGATCCTTGTGGAAAAATTTTAGATTACAACACTTCAAACAATCTAAAATCATATATCTTTTCTTAACAACTAAGGAATTAAATAAACAGAGACGTAACATAGTTCATGTATCATTTATATATAAAGATGTCCACAAATGGTTAAAACAAATTTTTCAAACAACAAAACCCTCATCAGAAAAAGTCGAATTTGACTGAAACTTAATATTATATTAAATCAAGCTCATTTAGTTTACTTCAGTGTGATGTTTGGACTTATGATATGTTTTGTGATTCGTCGGCTCCGAGAAGATTTTTATTAAAAACGAACAAAGTATAAATCTTAAATTTTGCCTAGGCACATTATTTATTACGGTTGATATTTACTACAGTAAAAAGTTAATTATAATTTTATTGTACGTGATAATCGACCGTTATGAATAACTGCGGATAAATAGAAAAACACCAAGAAATTAGAAATGCACGAATGTATTATACATAAATTTTTTGAAATGCATGAAGTGTTGATCCTGTTTAGGCTCGACGTTTCTTCACCTAAAAGCAACAAAATAAAATGCGACTCAAATTTATGATATATATATGATGAAAGAGAAGTAACATTTAAAAATAGTCAGTCACATAAGAAATTTTAATATTACTGTCAATAAATATGGTACAAATCGATGAAAACTTGTAGAACTGTATCCCAACTTTTAACTAATGAGTTATACATGAGAACTCTGTAACATTCTTCATTTAACCATTCTGTTTTAGCTTAAAGTTACAATGATTGTCATGGGAAGTAACGAAACCGATGGTAGGTTTGTTAAACATTTAACGGTACATGAAATAGAAGGCATAGATTCGTGTTAAACAATAATAACACAACAAAGTGATCATATTAAACTTAACTTCCTAGGTTATAAGTAACTCTAAGTGTGATATTTAGCCGATCAGATAGAGGTACAATCAATAAGCTTTCAACTCATGATTCACTACTAGTTGAAAATTGAGAACGTGAAATTTTCAGTCACAGCAGCTTCAAAACGTATAATAAACAGATAGATACAAATTGACTTCGTTTATTACAATAAATAAACTAGTTTCTTTTTGTTTATTGTCGGCTTGAAAATTACTTATTGAATAAGAAAACAGATGATTATTTTCAGTAAAGTGGTGGGAAACAGGATTTCTTCCTAATATTCGAGTACAAAAACACGTTTTCTTATTAGGACGATTTCCGCACTTCAACAAGTTTATTTACAAGAAACTAGAGTAATAACTATTTACACCTGATTGTTATGGACGTCAAAGTAAGTTGTAGTGCCTTCACATAAACTTGAGTTCGCTCATATTTAATTTAATTAAGCCTTTCGATTAACTTATGTAACCAAGCCATTTGTATAGCAACAACTCATATGTACCATTGGTACTTTTTATTGTCTGATTTGTATGAGCTTGTACGACTGAGCATTGCTTACGCCTACGCGCTTACTCATCTTTTCGCTTTAATGTTAATCTCTTAATATCCCTATGAGCTCACATGATGTGTTCCACTTGTCATTTGACCTTGTCAACTATTCGTCGCTTTTATTCATGTGTGTGCATGCCTATCTCGTTGATCATATATCTATCTTATTTTTGTCTGACTATATATTTTTACATTACGGGGTTGTGAAGATATATATTCTTAGTCACGCTCTATTTCTTTGAGTTGGCTCATTAACCTTCTCCACGTCGCTCCATACGGTTCGCTTCCTTCACCCATTCGTTCGCATTGTAATCCTGGGAGTTGGCTCAACAGCCTTCTCCAATTCACGTCGTTTCGTTCGCTTTATTCGCTGCTTTTCAACTTCGCTTTGTGGTGTGTCCAAAAATAAACGTATTCAACATTACAAGTTTACCTTCTGATTTATAAACCGTTAGACGCTATTTAGTAACGATTGTTTGGACGAGCTAATCACGAAGAACACGTCGAAATTGGCCACCACAAAGTATTATGACATTGAGTTTGAAAATCCGTGATTTTTCATCTAATTAGTTTTAGAGAATATTATATTAGTGACCGGCAATTACGATGCCTATAAATTATTAATAATTTTTAAAAATAAGCTAGTAAACGATTGGTGAAGTAATTTCAAATATTTTGAAAGCTGATCAATAAAAGTCAAGTGGATGGTTTGTGTTGAAACTTCTTTTTTTTTTTTAAAAAAAGGACTTACAATCCGATCAAAAGCAGCATGCAAATAATTCCAGGCAGTTTGATGCTGAGGGGCTTGTATTATCACAGCCTTTGCTATCATCAATTCAACCGGCAGGAGAATTTTTGCGCTTTAATCGATGTTGCGGAAATGATGGCATCATATCAGGTTCACATGCTGTTATTGAGATAAATACACGAAATTATGAATGTTGTTGTTAGTTGTTTTTATAAATTACTATATATCACTCTAGTTAATAAATTACTATCTACGAATTAAGTATACTGATGAATGAACTTAAAAATGCAATAAAGATTGGAAAACAGACTTTAAACTAACACTGGATAGTATGGCTTCAAAAAAGTTAATGAAATTTAATATATGAAAAGCAAACATAAAATGTTTTAATCATAGTAGATAGAGTAAGTTTCTAACCTAAAACACACTACTCAAAATATGAATACTTGAACAATTCAGTCACGACTTAGCTTTTTAAAAGGGGTATATACACGATCTCAATAATTCGCATACATTTAATAATTGGATATTCTCACTGACGTTTTAGGACTGTAACTGATCAGTCCCTTTTGGCATCTGTGCATCCTGTGCGGATCAGCTCAATACTGCCATTAAGTTACGAGCATTATAAGTGCAGGTGAATGGTGGCTAACAGAATTGCATTGTCTCAATTAACAACAGTTTACCAAAGTATTGAGAAAATAAAAGTAGGAAAACGGAAATATTAACACAAACTAAGTGAACAAAATTAGAGGTTTGAGTCAGTTGCAACGTAGAACTTCGTACGTAAGTACATCAGTTCATGTCGCCATACCACATCAGCACATAGATGTTATTGTCGATTCAAATCCAATAGTAAAAGAGGTAGTAAGGGTATTAGAAGTAATCGGAGAGGTTAGGATTAGAAGATATTATTCAAGAAGTATGATTCAGTGAGAAAAGTTTAGAAAGTCAAAACTAGAGCGGTTGAAGAATCCAGAAGATTAATTTGAGAGAACACAGAGAATAAATGGACCGGCGCAATTGCGAACGATTTTGAGCCATGTCACTCGAAGTCTCTAACGATCGATTATTATCATCTCGCGGACCCCAACCAGGTAGTCGACATTTACGGACATGGATAAGTCCACTCGTCAATGACTTCATAGATTTCTGCCATGTTTTAGTTTGGCCGACCCTAACTTTCTTCCAACCTATTCCTACACTACAAAACAAAGCTCGACGAGGCAGTCGGTGGTTGGGCATACGCAACACATGTCCCAATCATCTCAACTGATAAAGTTTCAATACTTCATCTATTGATCTGCCATTCTTACCTAGCACCCGATTCCTGATAACAGCGTTGCTCACTCGGGTGTCCTACGATATACGAGCAATGATTCGAAGACACCTATGATCGAAAACCAGTAACCTACGAATATCTTCTACTCTCACTGGCCATGTTTCACAGCCATATAGGAAAACGGAGCGAACTGCTGCGCAGTACACTCGTCCTTTGGTCAGCAAACGGATATCTCGCCTACGCCATAAGTGATGCAGGTTAGCAAAAGCCAATCGAGTCTTCTGTATCCGAGCTGAGATTTCGTCAGTCACCAGGCTGTCAGCGCTGACGAGACTCCCCAGATAAGTGAATAGGTCAACACGTTCAACTACTTCACTCCCTATCACTAGTTCTGGTGCCGATGCAACCCAGTCTTGAAGCAACATTTTGCATTTCGAGGGGGAACACCACATCCCGAACATGCTTGCATTGTTGCTTAGGGTAGTCAGAAGACTCTGCATTTTGTCAGCGTCTTCACGAAGTAGGACTATGTCATCGGCATATTCTAAGTCAATAAGCGAGCCACCTGGTAAAAGGTCTACTCCAGAAAATTCAGACGAGGATAAGGTTATTTCTAGGAGCATGTCTATGATAAAATAAAACAAGAATGGAGAAAGTGGACATCCCTGACGGACACCACTTGATGTAGAGAATTCCGGTGACAGTTCGCCATAAGCTCTCACTCGACCAGTGGTGTTCGGGTAGAGAGCTTGTATGAGGTTAATGTACTTCTTTGATACACCTTTCAATGACAGACACTGCCACAGAACCTCACGATCCACTGAGTCAAATGCCGCCTTAAGGTCCAGGAAAACAACTTTTGTAGGACGTCTAAGTGTGTGTCTGTGTTCCAGGACCTGTCGTAGTGTGAAGACGTGGTCTACACAGCCACGTCCAGGTCGAAAACCAGCCTGGTTTTCTCGAGTTTGCTCTTCACGAGCTTTCGTTAAGCGTCGAAATATTACTGAGGCCAATATTTTAGATACTATATCAGTTAGACTTATTCCCCTGTGATTGTCACAAGAAGACTTCTGTCCTTTCTTATAAATTGGGACAATCAGTTATTGAGACCAGTCGGATGGGATTGAGTCCAGTTCCCAGATTCTACCTAAGATCTCGGTCAACCTAGCGGATAAAACTGGACCACCATCCTTAAATATCTCAGGGGTCAGTCTATCAGGACCTGCAGCTCGCCCTCGCTTCAGATTTCCTAACGCTTTTTGACTTCAATAAGACTAAGGGAACTTACAACGATTTGCCATTCAGGATGACTGCAGATCGTGGGCAACCGAAGAGTGGCTCGAGGTCAGTTGAACTGATCCCTAAAGTGTTCTGCACATCGGTCCAGTCTCCTGGATTGAGAATAAATAATAGTCCCATCATTTTCTGAGATAGTATCACTTACACTAGGATTCCTAATACCAGTTTGCTTGATAAATCGGTACAGCTGTCTGTTGTAGCATATCGCCGCTGCCTTTTACATCGCTTTTGCTTTCGCCACCCACCACTGTTCGCGATCGTTACGTAGGCTTTTTATAAGTCTGCGCCTAAGTTGACTTCGTTCTTCATCATGTTCAGAGCCAGGTGGGATGAGTTTTCGGGCATCCATCAGTTCGGTGGATGCTACTGAGATCCACGGCTTCATTCTAGCCTTATGGTCAACCTTACTAGCAGATATCATTGCTGTTTCCACAGCCTTTTTGATATCATTCCAACCTGCCTCCGGATGGGAATCGCTTAAACGGTCGCCTAACTGTCTTTCTAGTTGTTCCTAAAATATATTTTTCGCCTTATTATCATTAAGTAAAACCCTAAGAGGCTTTCTTACGGTGTCTTTCCTACGCCCAGTAAGCTTCAAACAAATACGAGCTCGCACTAGGGCATGATCTGAATCTAGACATGTGCTCCAGAACGAGCGACAGTCTTCTATCGAACCCCTCCATCGATGGCTGATGGCGATGTGATCTAGTTGAGTCCAACGTTGAGACGACTTTGGAGGTCGCCAGGTCAACAGGTGCTTTTCCTTATGCCTAAAGTTAGTGTTTGCTAAGAATAGGCGGTTGTCTGAGCATACTTGCAACAGACAGTCACCATTGTCTGTTCAGAGGTTTGAGTGCTCACGTTTTACACAGTAGGTCAGCCATCTAAGCTGATTTCATTGATTTTTTTCTGAGAAGCAAACTAAGATTGCTAACTTCTATTAGTGTATACGCCATTTCTAACTGAATACATTGATTTTTACTTTGTTGCTGAGTTCCACCATTATCCAACAACCGTGCAAATAAATTAAGCAACTTTGTTTTGCCATGCATAAGCAGTGTTGTTTCCTAGTGATCACAGTTCAATATACAGCAATACTTTTAAGACAGATACCTTAGTCTTAATAGAATTTGCTGGATGATCCCAATTGAGGCACGGATAAAATGTCTCAATCTAAATCGATAAAATGGAAGTTAGTATGTGATAAATAGATTCAAGACACCATACTTTCCTAAACACTAGAAGAATTATTCACTACTTGTTTCATAAAGAAGTAACTACAAGAGTTAAATGGGAAAGACAAACATGATTAAATCCATTGCTATCTCGTGAGAATAACTGGGCAAGTAAGCGAAAATATGAGTTAAGCGGCACAAAAGGCCGTACACGAATACTATTTTGATTAAATCTTGTTGTGGATGTTAGATCCCCAGAACTCGCTTGATAAATGCGCCATCTTGGATTTCCCGTTTGCGAGCGTGGGCTGATCAGCTGACCTTGAGATTTCATTTCCCACCAGGAAAATCCATAGCTGTGACTGGCTGCTGTGTATTTTAGTGTGCTATTTTCGTAACTGTTCCAAGGACGTTTCTATGATGTATAAATAAACGAGAGTTGTGTGCTTGATTGTATTGTAGAATATACTTTCTACGCTTATCAAGTCTTCTGTTTTGCAGTTTAGGACGCTGGTAATTGTCTCGTTCGCGTTTATCGACTAAGGTGAACTCGTAATAGCTTCAAGCGTACCTAGTGACGAACATAACAAATCTGATATCCTATCGGGAATCAACTTGAATGATACAACAACATACGGCTGTATTGAGCTATTTTTAAGCGGTAAATCAGTCAGTTACCGCGTGGAACGTACGTACGTACACTGGTTCAAGTTGCCATACCACATTAGCACAGGGACGCAATTATAGATTCAAATCCCATAGTAGTAGAGGAAGTAGACGTATTAGCAGTAATCAAAATGACTGGTGATCGAACATATCATTCGAGATGTATACCCCAGAGAAATCACTTTAAAAAAAGCAGAAAAAACGGTCATAAGGAATTCATAAGATTACGGTTTGACAGAACACAAAGAATGGATGCACTTGCACCATTGCGAACGGTTTTGAGCACGTCACTCAGGGTCTCTAACCATCGATAGTAGTCGACACTTACCAACACGACTCAATCCAGTTGTCAATGACTTGTTGGATTTGTGCCATGTTTTCGTTTGGGCGCCCCTAACTTCCAGCCACAAAACACAGCTCGATGAGGCAATCGGTGGTTAGGCATACAAAACACATGTCCCAATCACCTCAACTGATGAAGTTTCAATACTTTATCTATTGATCTGGTATTCTTACCTAGTACCCGTTTCCTAACAACAGCACTGCTCACTCGATAGTCCGAACATAAATGAGCAGTGCTTCAGGGACACCGATGATCGAGAACCAGTAACCTACGAATATCTTCTACTCTGACTGGCCATGTTTCCAAGCAAAAAGTAATCGTCGATGAGTCGCATAGTGCGAAAGCAGTTGTCAAAGTAAATAGAAAGGAAAATCACCTGTTTTAACCGGAAGCAAACCTAGAAATAAATCTCTAACACCAAGACCACCGAGATCCGCTTGACTACCAGTCAAATATATCATATTACTGTTAGTCGTAAGGGATAGTTGCAATAATATATAGGACAGTAATATTTGTTATTTGCAAACACATGAATGCATCAATTAATCTCAATCGGTTACATGTAATAACTCCGCCTGTAGTCCCTTCAGGGCTACTGCCGGTACCAAGCCAGGATAAAGGAGGAGGGGTTGGACATGGGGTTGGCTCCCCCATCCCAACTAAAACTAACTTGCCAAAAAAACGCTAACCAGAAAAAGTAAGGTTACATATAATTTATGGAACTTTCGCAAACATCCCATGTGTACCGAACTAACGTATCAGGATTTCGCTTCTCAACATCAGGATTAACGAGAAGTGAAAGAGAATAAACACTTAATCACGAAAAACATTGGTAATGAGACTATAAATAATCATAATAATAATAATAATAATGGCTTTATCCAACCACTCACGTAAAGGATGTTCACGGAAATAGGAACTCTGACAGCATTCACGAGCCCGTGCCCGTTTGGATGGATCGTACATAAACAAAAAGTTCAGTAAACGTAACCCAGCATCCGATAACCATGGGAAAGTATGCCGTAAATTATTATATCTGGAGCACATGAATGAAAAATTTATGCAAATAGAACTTTGAAAATAGCTTACATTTAAAACAAAAGAATAAAAAGTTAAATTAAGTTATAGATTGATAACAAGTGTTTTATTTATTAATTAATTCAAACTAATTGCTGTGTAATCTTTTGTTTAGGTTTTGATGTATACCTGAATAGTAATAGTATTCTAGCCAACGAATGAATAAATAATAGACGATAGTCAATACTAATGAGTTGTAACACCAGATGATTAGATCAGTGCTCTATTTCAATACTTGGAAGCAAATAAATTGATACAGAAAAGGAATCAATCAATCATCAACATTCATTAGTCTCAGTTAATGGTATTTTGCGGAAAAGAAGTTAATATAGCAAATGTATAACAATACAAAATGTCGACAAGTTGCAAAATAAATTCAGAATAATGAGACTATGGGGATTTGAAAGCGTACATTTTTTCTAGTATTCAATCAACAATGTAACCAGTCTGAGTGGTTATTTTACATATATATATATATATATATATATATATATATGCAACTCAGTAAATATGGATATGGTTTTATGTCCTATTATCTCCTGTATCGACTTATTGATGGCTAGTAAAATTGCCTAGTTTTAGAAAGTCATGTACATTGTGGAGCCCGTCATTGAAATGCAACTGGACGATCTCTACTTTGTAGATGACCCAGCTTTTCCATCCCACATGCAACAACAAATGAAGGAGAAGACGGCCAGTGTGGCAGTAGCCTCTGCAGCGGTAGGTCTCAACATGCACAAACAAGAAGTAAGCACTAACCAAATAACAATTGATAGAGAAGCTTTGGAAGATGTAGAGACCTTTACATATCTGGGCAGCATCATTGATAAACAAGGTGAATCTGATGCCGATGTAAAGACGCGGATTAGTAAAGTAAGGGCAGTATTTCTACAACTGAAGAATATTTGGAACTCAAAAAAACAATGAACCAACACAAAAGTCACAATTTCAAATTAGAATGTCAAGAGACTTTTACTGTATAGAGTGGAAACTTGGAGAGCCACGAAAGCTATCATCTAAAAGGTAAATGTGTTTATTAACGGTTGACTAAGCAAGATACTACGGACCTGTTGGTCAGACACCTTCAGCAACAAACTACTGTGGGAGAGAAACCAATTGCCGGTGAAGGAAGAAATCAAGGAGAAGCGCTGGAGGTGGGTAGGACACATTGAGGAAAGCATCCAACGGCATCATAAGGCAACTCCTTATGGTCAAAGGGTAAGATGGAGACCAAATAACACATTACGTCGAGAATTGGAGGCAGACATAAAAAGGATGAACAGCGATTAGAAAGAACTGGAAAAGAAGGCCCAAGACAGAGTAAGTTGGAGATTGCTGGTCGATGGCCTTTGCTCCATGGCAGGTAACAGGCGCAAGTACAGTTTTCAAACGACAAAATACAGTTGTATAATTGCTAACCCAAAAGAACAACAAGAATGGTCACAGAAGAGGTACTTAATAGTTAGTTAATGCGAAGCTTTTAACAAATATTACTAGGACCATAAAACAAGTATTGTAACTTTATCTCTGTTCAAACTCCTATAAGAATAACTATGATGATCATACGCCGAATCTCTGGACCCATAAATTACGATCGCACCACCCTGCCCGACCGTAGCTGCTACCTTGACGTGGTGGTCGGGCTTGCCTGTCGTGATGACCCGACCGAGCTATACTGGCTGGAACATATGTTTCTGAAGGTTCTACCATGCCAGGCAGGTCGATTGGAGAACGATCACACTAAAAGCAGATACTCAAGGTATGAGGGCGAAGTCGTACTGCTGACTACTGCAGAGGAGTGTGACAGCAGTAAGCTGTTTCCCTCGGACAACCAGCATCTGCAGCGATGCAGCCTTCTCACAAGGAAGGAAGGGTCGGCCCTAAAAATGTCAGACCTCCCCTAACTCACGGATTTCCGTCTCCTTGGGTAACGGTGCCCGCTAAGGGCCTTTAAGAACGGAGCTAATCCTCTAAAAACGTTTCATAAAAAGGCCGTGCGTGACCGGCCTCAAGCAGTTGTCCCTTGGGCTCTGCGGTCACGCACACAGGTCTCTAAGACCAACACTAATCTATTTTCCTTTTCAGGTTCCTCAAGAAACAACCTTCCACGGTGTAGGCAGCCGGGAAGTGACAACCGCCCTCATACCCGTACCAGCACGCGAGACCAAGTTGGTCAAAATCAAATCCTTCCTACACCAACACACACCTCTCTTATCTCCACGACTAACTCTTCTCACATCCATTTATCACAGTGCACAGCTGATGCAAACGATGCGAGTTCGCGAAACGTCGTTCCTGGTCTCCTTAAACCCCGCTCTAGACTACATGTTGGAGCATTTAATGTACGGACATTGTGTCAAATAGGGCAACAGACATCATTAGCTAGGACTTTAAAATCTCGTGCCATCGATGTTTGCTGCGTCTCGGAAACGGGCATGCAGGATCCGAGTAGCATCATTCACTTGACTTCAACATGTCAAGATAAAGAAGCAGCTCGATTTACTCTTCGTGTATCCGGTAGCCTTGATGCTGCTTCCAGGGGTATTGCTGGTGTAGGTATAGCATTGAGTCGTAGAGCAGAACTAGCACTCCTAGACCGGATCCCAGTAGATAGTCGCTTGTACGCTGTCCGACTAAACGGGACAGTAAGGACTCGGAAAGATAGGGAAAATCGCCGTTGCCTCTTCATCGTGTCTGCCTATGCCCCCACTGACTGCAGTTCAGACGAGGTTAAAGATGAGTTCTACCGAAAGCTTTCGGACCTCTTCCAAAAAGCTAGTAACTCTGATATAGTATTAATGGCTGGTGACTTTAATGCTCAAGTAGGTAGACTGAGTGAAAATGAAAGACACCTAGCTGGATGTTATGGTGTCGTGGCTCAGAGAACAGACAATGGTGATCGTCTGTTGCAAGTATGCTCAGACAACCGCCTATTCTTAGCAAACACTAACTTTAGGTATAAGGAAAAGCATCTGTTGACCTGGCGACCTCCAAAGTCGTCTCAACGTTGAACCCAACTAGATCACATCGCCATCAGCAATCGATGGAGGGGTTCGATAGAGGACTATCACCCGTTCTGGGGCACATGTCTAGATTCAGATCATGCCCTAGTGCGAGCGCGTATTTGTTTGAAGCTTACTGGGCGTAGGAAAGACACCGTAAGAAAGCCTCTTAGGGTTTTACTTAATGATAATAAGGCGAAAAATATATTTTAGGAACAACTAGAAAGACAGTTAGGCGACCATTTAAGCGATTCCCATCCGGAGGCAGGTTGGAATGATATCAAAAAGGCTGTGGAAACAGCAATGATATCTGCTAGTAAGGTTGACCATAAGGCTAGAATGAAGCCGTGGATCTCAGTAGCATCCACCGAACTGATGGATGCCCGAAAACTCATCCCACCTGGCTCTGAACATGATGAAGAACGAAGTCAACTTAGGCGCAGACTTATAAAAAGCCTACGTAACGATCGCGAACAGTGGTGGGTGGCGAAATCAAAAGCGATGTAAAAGGCAGCGGCGATAGGCAACACTAAACAACTTTTCCGACTTATCAAGGAAACTGGTATTAGGAATCCTAGTGTAAGTGAGACTATCTCAGAAAATGATGGGACTATTATTTATTCTCAATCCAGGAGACTGGACCGATGTGCAGAACACTTTAGGGATCAGTTCAACTGACCTCGAGCCACTCTTCGGTTGCCCACGATCCCCAGTCATCCTGAATGGCAAATCGATTTAAGTCCTCCCAGTCTACACGAAGTTGAGAATGCTATAGGAAATCTAAAGCGAAGTAGAGCAGCAGGTCCTGATAGGCTTACCCCTGAGATGTTTAAGGATGGTGGTCCAGTTTTATCCGCTAGGTTGACCGAGATCTTAGGTAGAATCTGGGAACTGGACTCAATCCCATCCGACTGGTCTCAATAACTGATTGTCCCAATTTATAAGAAAGGACAGAAGTCTTCTTGTGACAATCACAGGGGAATAAGTCTAACTGATATAGTATCTAAAATATTGGCCTCAGTAATATTTCGACGCTTAACGAAAGCTCGTGAAGAGCAAACTCGAGAAAACCAGGCTGGTTTTCGACCTGGACGTGGCTGTGTAGACCACGTCTTCACACTACGACAGGTCCTGGAACACAGACACACACTTAGACGTCCTACAAAAGTTGTTTTCCTGGACCTTAAGGCGGCATTTGACTCAGTGGATCGTGAGGTTCTGTGGCAGTGTCTGTCATTGAAAGGTGTATCAAAGAAGTACATTAACCTCATACAAGCCCTCTACTTGAACACCACTAGTCGAGTGAGAGCTTATGGCGAACTGTCACCGGAATTCTTCACTTCAAGTGGTGTCCGTCAGGGATGTCCACTTTCTCCATTCTTGTTTGATTTCATTATAGACATGCTCCTAGACATAACATTATCCTCATCTGAATTTTCAGTAGACCTACCAGGTGGCTCGCTTATTGACTCAGAATATGCCGATGACATAGTCCTACTTCGTGAAGACGCTGACAAAATGCAGAGTCTTCTGACTACCCTAAGCAACAATGCAAGCATGTTCGGGATGCGGTTTTCCCCCTCGAAATGCAAAATGTTGCTTCAAGACTGGGTTGCATCGGCACCAGAACTAGTGATAGGGAGTGAAGTGGTTGAGCGTGTTGACCGCTTCGCTTATTTTCGGAGTATCATCAGTGCCGATGGCCTGGTGACTGACGAAATCTCAGCACGGATACAGAAGGCTCGATTGGCTTTTGCTAACCTGCCTCACTTATGGCGTAGACGAGATATCCGTTTGCTGACTAAAGGACGAGTGTACTGCGCAGTAGTTCGCTCCGTCTTACTTTATGGCTGTGAAACATGACCAGTCAGAGTAGAAGATATTCGTAGGTTACTGCTTTTCGATCATAGGTGTCTTCGAAGCATTGCTCGTATATCGTGGGACACTCGAGTGAGCAACGCTGTTATTAGGAATCGGGTGCTAGGTAAGAATGGTAGATCAATAGATGAAGTAATGAAACTTCACCAGTTGAGGTGGTTGGGACATGTGTTGCGTATGCCCAACCACCGACTGCCTCGTCGAGCTTTGTTTTGTAGTGTAGGAATAGGTTGGAAGAAAGTTAGGGGCGGCCAAACTAAAACATGGCAGAAATCTATGAAGTCATTGACGAGTGGACTTATCCATGTCCGTAAATGTCGACTACCTGGTTGGGGTCCGCGAGATGATAATAATCGATCGTTAGAGACTTCGAGTGACATGGCTCAAAATCGTTCGCAATTGCGCCGGTCCATTTATTCTCTGTGTTCTCTCAAATCCTAATCTTCTGGATTCTTCAACACCTCTAGTTTTGACTTTCTAAACTTTTCTTACTGAATCATACTTCTTGAATAATATCTTCTAATCCTAACCTCTCCGATTACTTCTAATACCTTTACTACCTCTTCTACTATTGGATTTGAATTGACAATTACATCTCTGTGTTGATGTGGTATGGCGACATGAACTGATGTACTTACGTACGAAGTTCTACGTTGCAACTGACTGCACCAACCTACGATTGGATTGCGATAAGACTTGAAACTCGTAAACGTGATTTTTTAACTCTCAAAAACCTGTCACACAAACTGAACAAAAAAAAAATTAGGAAACAAGAAAACCGATATACTAAAGATAACATATGATAGTTAACACAAACTTACGGTTGCTTTTTCAGATTAATCTTTTCTAATGCCGGTAGTTTAGAAAGGTTCTAGAGCAAAAACAAGTAAGCATATAGCTTGAACATACCGGCCAAATCTGATCATTTGGGGTGCCAAGTAAATCAATAATTAACTCTAGTTGGTGAACCTCTGTTTTCCCTGGAAGAAGTGGTTTGTGTAATAAAAGTTCACCCATAATGCACCCAGCTGACCTAACGTTTCAAAACTCGGATGAAAAAAATTACTTGAACTAACCATATATCGATAGCTTTTGTTTGATTTTTGTCTCCAAGTAAGATTTCCGGTGCTCGGTACCTGCAGGTTAAGAGACATAGGCAACGGTGGATTTAGTAGTCACATATAACTTCACTCTACAAAACACCAAGTTCATCAGAACAGGCGAACAAATAAATGACTGAAAATATTTAAATTCTGTATAAGGAAACTGTCAAGACACTACATAGATTAGATCCTATGAACTCGCATTAACTAGGGTTGCCAGGATGTGTTACGCATACCCAAACTAGTTTTTTTAATGTGCAGCTCTAAATAAAGTAAAAGAGGTTTCGGAATAGAAAGATGCATCAAGACAAAGAGGGTATTCCGACCGTAGCTGCTACCTTGACGTAGTGGTCAGGTTTGCTTATCATGATAACCAAACAGTTATATTGGCTGAAGGTTCTACCATGCCAGGCAGGTCGATTGGAGAACGATCACACTAAAAGCAGATACTCAAGGTATGAGGGCGAAGTCGTACTGCTGACCGAAGAGGGGCGTGACAGCAGTAAGCTGTTTCCCTCGGACAACCAGCATCTGCAGCGATGCTGTCTTCTCAAAAGGAAGGGAGGGTTAGAAAAGGTCGACCCTAAAAGTGTCACACCTCCCCTAACTCACGGATTTCCGTCTCCGGCGGTGAGGGCTACAAAATAAGGGCTTTAAAAGAGAGGAGCTAACACTCAAAAAGCCTTTCATAAAAAGGCCGTGCGTGACCGGCCTCAAGCAGTTGTCCCTTGGGCTCTGTGGTCACGCACCCAGGTCTCAAAGACCAACACTAATCCACCTCCCTTTTCAAGTCCCTCAAGGAACACCGTTTCACGGTGTGAGCAGCCGGGAAGTGATAACCGCCATCATCATACTCATAACAGCACACGAGATCAAATTGGTCACAATCAAATCCTTCCTACACTCCCTAACATCCACCTTATCTTTACGACTAACTCTTCTCACATTCCTTTATCACCCCGCACCTCTGCCGCAAACGATTTGAGTTCCCGAAACGTTATTCCTGATATCCTGAGACCCCGTTCTAAACTATATATTGGAACATATAATGTACGGACATTGTGTCAAATAGGGCAACAGACATCATTAGCTAGGACTTTAGAATCTCGCACCATCGATGTATGCTGTATCTCGGAAACGAGCATACAGGATCCAAGTAGCGTCATTCACTTGGCTTCATCATGTCAAGATAAAGAAGCAGCTCGATTTGCCCTTCGTGAGTCTGAAAGACCTGATGCTGCTTCGCGGGGTCTCGCTGGTGTAGGTATAGCATTGAGTCGTAGAGCAGAACTAGCACTCCTAGACCGGATCCCAGTAGATAGTCGCTTGTACGCTGTCCGACTAAACGGGACAGTAAGGACTCGGAAAGATAGGGAAAATCGCCGTTGCCTCTTCATCGTGTCTGCCTATGCCCCCACTGACTGCAGTTCAGACGAGGTTAAAGATGAGTTCTACCGAAAGCTTTCGGACCTCTTCCAAAAAGCTAGTAACTCTGATATAGTATTAATGGCTGGTGACTTTAATGCTCAAGTAGGTAGACTGAGTGAAAATGAAAGACACCTAGCTGGATGTTATGGTGTCGTGGCTCAGAGAACAGACAATGGTGACCGTCTGTTGCAAGTATGCTCAGACAATCGCCTATTCTTAGCAAACACTAACTTTAGGTATAAGGAAAAGCATCTGTTGACCTGGCGACCTCCAAAGTCGTCTCAACGTTGAACCCAACTAGATCACATCGCCATCAGCAATCGATGGAGGGGTTCGATAGAGGACTATCACCCGTTCTGGGGCACATGTTTAGATTCAGATCATGCTCTAGTGCGAGCTCGTATTTGTTTGAGGCTTACTGGACGTAGGAAAGACACCGCAAGGAAACCTCTTAGGGATGTGGAAACAGAAGTGATATCTGCTAGTAAGGTTGACCATAAGGCTAGAATGAAGCCGTGGATCTCAGTAGCATCCACCGAACTGATAGAGGCTCGAAAACTCATCCCACCTGGCTCTGAACATGATGAAGAACGAAGTCAGCTTAGGCGCGGGCTGATAAAAGGCCTACGTGACGACCGTGAACAGTGGTAGGTGGCGGAAGCAAAAGCGATGTAAAAGGCAGCGTCGATAGGCAACAACAGACAGCTGTACCGACTTATCAAGGAAACTGGTATTAGGAACCCAAATGTGAGTGAGACTATTTTGGAAAAGGAAGGTCTTATTATCCATTCTCAATCCAGGAGACTGGACCGATATGCAGAACACTTTAGGGATCAGTTCAACTGGCATCGAGCCACTCTTCGGTTGCCCACGATCCCCAGTCATCCTGAATGGCAAATCGACGTAAGTCCCCTTAGTCATTATGAAGTTGAGAAAGATTAATAGAATCAAATAAGCTCTGAGATCAAGGGATACAAGTGTTGTCGGGCGCCGAAGTATGTGTGGACATCTGTTCTGTACGTTCACGTCTAAGTCTAAAACCAGCCTGGTTTTCTCGAGTCTGCGCTTCACAAGCTCTAGTTAGGTCTGTTGAACTGTCCCCTAAAATATTCGGTTAATATGTTCAATCTCCTGGACTGTAGATGATGATCCTGTCTGTTTCCGAGATTTTCGCTTACAGTTGGATTTTTAATACCAACTTTCTTGATAACTCTGATTAGATCACTGTTATCCGTCGTAGACAATATTCCAGAACCAGCAACGATGCTGTCCAACAACTTCCTTTCCCAACCTTAATTAGCTACGGATTGAATAGATGCCATCGTTAGTCCTAATGTGCAGAAACAGATTGTGTCTGACTACTGAAATGTAACTATAAACAGCATATTAATTGAGATTTTTCACAAGATAATCCCGAGCTTTATACTCCACCTATATAGGACCGGAACTGGATTATTGTATTGAAACAGCTGGTCTATGTCTAAATATGTTATCACATTCGAGTGTTCTGAGTGTGGGAACTAGTTCAGTGGGGGGTCATCTTAAACACTAGAAGGATGAGGGCTTAAAACACCACCTTTCCCTTTTATCGCTGAGCGCGAGATGATTTTGTTGGTATACCGTATCTTGAATAACTATTTAGGTGTTACCATTTCTTATTGATCCGTTCAGAACTAACCATCTTCAGGGATATAACATGAAATTTCAAAAACCAGAAAGAAATAAACTGTGGAATTCCGTTTTTCTCAGTAAGTGATAAATGACTATAATACCCTAACCCATCAATGAACAGTGTTAATGAGAAGTTGGATCTACATTGGAAAAAAGTCATCAAAGCCGAAAAACACAAGCAAATAAAAAACAAGGAATCTTAGTGATCGCTACAACGAATAATGAAGTTTTGGCTAGTCTAACAATAATCCTGGTTGCCAATAATTTTTCAAAAAATGTTAGAAAGCGACAATATGGTAAGAAAAAGTGTCCTAGCCAAGTAGGTAACTTGGAACCGAAGCAATTAATAGATATTCTGACATTTTCAAACCGACGGATTATTCTATCAGCAGACGACCATTTTTATGAATCATTATGATTCACCTTACGGTTTGCAATTCAGTCTCCTAACAAGCATCAATACACATATGATAAATAAATTAACTGTTCTATGGCTGAACTTTGGTAAGTTAAAGAACTTGCCAATAAACCTGTTACTTGTTGAATAAAATTCTTAGTGGTTTACACAAATACATGAAGATTTCAAAACGAATCTTCTTACCATAATGTTACAACGCAAGGAGTCATAGGATTATGGGAATGGGTGGGGCGTGACAGTCCAAAGTCTGCTATTTTAACAAGACCTTTGTCATTCATTAAGAGGTTGGAGACTTTCAAGTCCCTGTGGATTATAAAGTTTTCATGAAGGTATCTCAGACCTTTAAAAATTTGCAGCATTATGCATTTAACCTATATTATAAACTTTAAATCTAAACCGCACGTTACCTGAGACTCAGTAAAAGGATTGGGCATGTTATCGAGTAAACTTGCCATATCTTGTTCACAATATTCCATAACGAGAAAAATGCTGAAATTGGTGAGAATCGCTAGAACATACCTGTCCAAGCTCCTGCCAACAACAACTTCCCTTAGGTGTACAACATTCGGGTGCTTAATACTTAGCAACAATGTGATTTCCCGTAAACTGCTGATGGGGATACCTGCATCAATTAACTCAAGTTTGAAGAGAAACTTGCCATCTCTGACGTTTTCCATCCTAACTTTTTTCAGTGCCACCACCTCTTTCGATACAGTATCGCGAGCACGGTCTGAATAATTAGCTAACCTCATACACTTACAGACAATTCCATATGTTCCCTCGCCGATGCGATTAAGCTTTTCAAATTCAGCAACACTACGACATCTACCCTCCTAAAAACTATAGAAATGCTTTACAACTTACTCTGAATTCCGATGGAATCTTAAAGTAGGAAAGTCTTTTGACACTGAATATTCTGAAATCCTTTGACTCTGACTCAGGTTCACGGGCAGCCGACCGCGTAGCGCACATTTTGTTATTAGCGCTTCAAACTATTAACACAAGTGAGTGACAAGTATCCACTATCTTCTTCACGAGCTAATATAAACTGAATGATTTATTTGCGCTTGATTCTTGTTCGTTCGATGCGGTTTCATGTTATCTTTGGTGTGAAGTTAATATTACTCTAGCCACCTGAGTGCACTAATTCTGGTTATTCGGCAGCAGTTCCTGAATTTGTACGTCCCGTGATTTGAATGAGTGCGTATGGTCCAGGATAGCAAGGTTTCTGGATACCAGAAGCTATCACGATGCTAGGCCAAAGATTATTTATGTGCAACTAGGGAAACAGTGGGGAGAAAATTCTAACGCTATTAAGAGTTCAGGAGTAAGTATATAAGGGTATAAATAAGTTTGATGTCTACGTTTCATGCATAGTCGGGCTTACTACTTTACCAGCTGAGTCGAACTCGAAGTAAGGTTCTCTATTTTTGCGATTCACGATGACTCTGATATTAACTAATGACTAACATTCAGCGTCCGTAGATTATACGTGGGCGAACACCGTTTGCGAGGCAGCGATAATAAGCAGTCAAAAACGCATTGATTCCGATGAGTTTGTTTCAAGCACACATTCATGCAGATATATGAGAATACCCAACTTAAAAACAGAAAAAGACGCCGAAATAACTCCGCGTGATAAAGCATTACCAAGAATAATTACAGAGTAAGACAAAATCAGCCAGACGTGAAAGCTTAAGGGCACAGTAACACTACGAATCAACACACTGAACGTATAAAAGGGTAATACTAGGTAAGAATGGCAAATCAGCTGATGAAGTTGTAGATTTTCATTAGTTGAGGTGGTTCGAACATATGTTCTGTATGCCTAACCACCGACTGCCTTGACGAGCTATGCTGAATAGTACAGGAGTAGGCTGGAAGAGAGCCAAGGGCGGTTAGAAAAAAACATGACAATAATTCACTAAGTGATCGACAAATGAATTAAGCCATTTTAGTAGGAGCAGACTAACTGGCTTTGTGTTTTTAAAATTTTGAATGTTGATCCAAATGTAAAATATAATTTTATAATGGTATGTGTATATTATAGTATATGATACTGAAATTTGCTTTTTGATGTACACTCAATGAGTCAACTACAACGTGGACATTGGTACGCACGTACATCAGTCCAAGTTTCCAGAACACATAAGCACAAGAAGATGGAATTTTCAATGCAAATCTGAGAGTGGTAGATGTATTAGTAATAGAAAAGATTAGGGATCAAGGACATGTTTCGAGAAATACATCCCAGTGGAATTGATACAAATAGACAAAAGAAGATCGTGAGTAATTCAGGAGGTTGGAATTTGAAAAAACACAAAACCAGGTAGTCTACTCCTACTAAAATGGCTCATTTCAGTTGTCGATCACTTTGTGAATTATTGTCATGTTTTGTTCTGGCCGCCCTTAGTTCTTTTCCAGCCTACTCCTGTACTATACAGCATAGCTCGTCAGGGCAGTCGGTGGTTGGGCATACATAACACATGTCCCAACCAACTCAAATGATGAAAATTTACAACTTTATCAGCTGATTTGCCATTCTTACCTAGTAGTACCCTTTTATACGATCAGTGTGTTGATTCGTAGTGTTACTGTGCCCTTAAGCTTTTAGGCTTGAATCGTGACAGTTTTTATCAGCAGCTCATACCACGTTAAGATTTCAGACTACGTTATCATATAAAACTTCTGAAAACTAAGATTACTATTCTATTAAAATTAGACTATTTGGTCAGCTTGCAATCTTCGTGTAAGAATAAATAAGACCTAGGATCTTGGACTTACTTATATTTTAATAATATATACTGATAATCACTTCTAAGAAAATTTCTTATCATTGAACAACTAATAATTTATAGGCTGTTTTCCATATATACTGTAGAATCTTTTTTGAATGTTTTGTTTTTGGAAAATCCCTCCATGTATATATATTTGTGTTATGATATGACTGACTCTTTCTGTTGACATTTCGGTACTTTATTTGATTCCATTTTGAGATTTTATCATTATATATTGTTGTTATTTCTATATCTTGTACTTATATTGAAGTTTTTATGTTTGCTTCTGAACTGTACATATGTTGTTTAAATTTGATATTTAATATGGCTACAGCCATGTTTGGATTTGATACCGTAGAAATTCGGACTGGAAGCACTTATTCTTCGAGAAACGGATACCCACCAGGGTAATTTGGATCTGGAAGGTGTAATAATAGTTGGGTAATTGTCTGTATTTCCATTTTATATTAAATAAAGACCGTTTTCTCCCAGAATTATTGTGTTTTGGTATTGGATCTAGGACGTCGAGTACCAACGTGCACCTATTGGAAACGGAATGAACTGCTGGGGTAGAAAATCCATCTATAGTCCAAAAATTAAGAAGAACAAAGAAACATTTGGAATTTTCATCGTTTACAATCTCAAACTACTTGGAAGAAGAACTTTTGGATTACTTATATTTTTTCTTTGATCAAATTGTATTTTGGAAAACGATCTTTTGATCTTTTTGGATTTTTCATTGACAAAGAACATTTACCGGTGAAAATTTTATATTTTGTATTTGTTACTTACTTTCTGTTGAATTTCAATTTCTTATGAGTTCTCGAAAGAAATCAAACACGAAGAGGGTTGAAGCCCATGAAGAATCCCGTAACGCAAGGCAAGTTGTTTATGATACTTAATGTTTAATGGGTTCACTCTCTACTGAGGATGATATTATGCTTAGTACTTATTATTGTAAGTCACCATTAGAAAGTACTAAGAGACAAGGTTTGGATGAGAACTCTAAGGTATCTGGGTAAGATTTGATGTCTAGGACACCGGTACTTTGCTTAGAATTGCCAAAGGTTGAACTAAGTTATTTTTATGGACAACACCGTGATTATATTAAGTTTATCAAGCAGTTTGAGACATTTATAGAACCCAGAGTAATGGATGATAATCTGCGTTTATTGTATTTAATTCATTACTGTAAAGGAAAGGCGAGATGTGCGATTGAAGGATGCCTTATAATGGAACCCCATGTGGGATATAAAAGAGCTAAGGCTATTTTAAAGCAGCTCTTCGGACAATCGCATGTAATAGCTCATGAAACTCTGGATGACTTGTTTAGATCTGGGAATGCGGATTACAATGACCCAGAACAATTGTCGGATTTAGCAATTAAGATGCAAAACGTTGCTCTAACTATGGAACAATTAAATTGTATTGCGGAACTAAATTCTCTAGTAACTTTAGAGCGAATAGTTAGGCTCTTACCTCATCGAATGCAAGTCCAGTGGGCAGAGCTGGGAATAAAATGGGACGAAGAGGAAAGAGAGCCTACTTTCAATGAATTGATTAACTTTATTATGTCTCGTGCTAGGATAGCTAGTAGTAGATGTTATTTATTTTTTAGATGTTTGTTATTTGAGAATAAATTATTATTATCATTATTATTATTAGATTCGGAAGATTAGCTAATCGCGCAAAAACAGGACATGTAAATGGATTTCTACGGTGGCAGTTCCAATGGGTTCCAATAAGTGCACTCCGAACGCGTATCTCCCAATTCAAGGTCCAGAAAAAGCAAAAGTTCTAGGAGAAAACGGTCTGTATTAATAAAAAGATGGAATTACAAAGCAGTACCTGGAATTGATGCACCTTCCAGGTTACAATTACTCCGAAGAGTATCCGAAACAAAGATAAATAGGTGACGTTAAGTCCAACAGCTACCGTATCAATCCAAATATGGCTGTAGCCATATTAAAGATCAAATTTAAACAACATATATACAGATCAGAAGCAAACACAAAAACTTCAATATAAGTACAAAATATAGGAATAATAACAATATACAATGATAAATTCTCAAATTGGAATCAAATAAAATACCAAAAATGTCAACAGAAAAAGTCCGTCATGTCATAACAAAAATATGTAAACATGGAGGGATTTTCCAAAAAACAAAACATTCAAAAAAGATTCTACACCGGCCCGCAAAATCCCTCCATGCAAAAAAGAGCAAGCGTTAATGACACGTCAATTTAGGGTTCCCACCCATCCCCTAATCCACACCGAAATAACGAATAGGACTTACAGCAGTACGCCTACCCGTTTTCAATATGGATATAATCATAATAATAATTTCTCAAATAACTAAGTTACAAGAGTCACGCCAGTTTACAGGCTAGATCAAATTGTCACAAATGCTTTTACAATTACTGTAAAAGTTATAGCAGTTAAATTAAGTATAAGAGACAGTTTCTGATTGCATATTTACACCATATCACTGACAGAAACAGTATTATACAGCCACATTTTCAATATTAGAGTACAAATGAGGAAGGTGCACAATAGGTTCTATTGGCGATTGGCCGAGATCAATAGTGAATTTGTTGGGAAAGGTCATATGGAACGCGCTTGATACGAGCTGTGATCCAGACAGTCATGTACATTGAGTGCATGTTCCCTAGAGTTGCCAAGGATTTCCCACCGTGAATGGGGTTCTGAAAAGGAGAAGAGAGAAAGAGAAAAAGGCAGCAGTGTGGCAAGTGTATATATATAACCAAAGCACTACTTAACCTGTCATGTTAAAGTAGTCAATACAGTAGTAAGTCAAGATAACATTCATACTGACCACTTAAATTAAAGTAAATTATGGGAATATAAGAATATAACGCACAGATAAAGGAGTACAGCAAAAAAGAAGGAAGAGTTGTGCAGTGTCAGGTGGATAGAAGAGAAGTCGAAGTAAGAAGCTGGATTTATGTACGTTGAAATCGAAATTCTAGTTAAAAGAGTAGAGTTTGTAAAAATAAATATTTGACGAATAAAATCTCGCACTGTCTAACTGTTTTTTTTTCTTTATTATTGAATGTCAACCTCTAAGTCATACTGTAAGCGCCTGAGTAAGAATGTTGCAGGTGTCTCGACAGAATAGCGACCTCAGCATAGTTTTGGAAACATGAACCACAGAAGTAGCAAGCGTATAAGAGCAACCTCAGTGTTACTGATTAGTCGTCTCATCAATCTAAAGAGCCGAAAGCAAACAAAA